CCCAGAGAGTCATTTCCCTGAGGTCCCACATGTCATGACAGAGCCAGAATTCGAACCCGAGTCCTCTAGTTCTAAACCAGGACTCTTTCTTCCACCCTGTGCAGGTGCCAAAGGTCAGCTAATCAACAGGCCTCTGTTAAGCCATGTCCCTGTTTGCCAGGAACTAGAATAAACACTTTATACAAAGATAAAAGCAGACCAGAGCCTGCCCTTGAGAAAGTGGCATTCTGATGGGGGAGACACCATGTACATATACAGGTATATGCAAGATACATAGAAAGCAACCACAGAGTACCCTGTATAGGAATGCACTAACAGCTAAAGCCGACCTGTAGAGGCCTCTTCTACAAGGGGTATTTTAAGCTGATTCTTAAAAGAGACCAGGGGTTCCAGGAGGCATGCAGGGGGAGCCTTCCAGGGTTGGGGCACTGTCAGTACCTTTGGACTGTGTGGAGATGTACAGAGATGGGATATGCAGTGTGGTATGTTAGGAGCTCGTGTTAGGCCAGTATGGCTGAACGCTAGAGTATGTGGAGGAGAACATAGAGTATGTGTAAGAAGAATTGAGAGAGGTTGGAAAGGGCCAGGTTATAAAGGGCCGTCAAAGTCAAAGGACTTGGTGGATCAAGTGAGATTATGGTAAAGTAGCTTCACAGTGTGTAGCACGTAGTAGGCACTTAATGCTTCTTCCCTTTCCTCAAAGGTTTAGATTTGATCCTATAAGAAATAGGGAATCACTAGATTTTATTGGGAGGAGGTAACGTTTTCAGATCTAACTTTTTTGGCAGCTGTGTAGAGGATGGTTTGGAGTGGGGAGCCACTGTAGCCAGGAAGACCAAATGGGAGACCACTGACATACTCCAGGTGGGAGGTGATGAGGGCCTTAAATAGGGCAGGGACTGTATGAGTGGAAAGAAAGGGAAGCTGCACAAGAGATACTGTCCAAACAGAAATGATTCCCTGTGGCAGCTGATTGGCTATGTGGAGCAAGTCAGGGTTAGGAGTTGACGATGACCCCATTGTGCAGATTTGGATTGTGGTGCCCTCTTCAGAAATAGACACGTTCAGAAGATAGGTAAGTGTAGAGTGCTGTTTGAATGTGTTTAGTTTGAGATGTCTGCTGGACCAATCCGATCCAAAACTTTGGTGATGCAGTACTGGTCCTGGGGCTAGATTTTAAAGGTCTGCAAGTCAACTGCAGACTGATGATCATTAAACCCACAGGAATTGATGAGATCACTAAGTGAGAGTGAATTCTCTCCTAACCAGAGTCAAAACAGACTGACTTACAAAAGTATGACTTTCCCCCTAGATGGCAGAGGGGATAGATGGAAATTTTCAAACAGCATCTCAGTTGCTCCGTGCGTTGTGGGTAAAGAAGAACACAAACTCAGTCCTTAATAGGAAGCCAGAAGGTGCTTTAAAAAATAAATTGGAATTTATCTGAGGCTCCCTCTCGCACATGACCTAGGACTTTTAGCTCCCATTAGTTAATCTAATCAGAACAAATGAAAGGACATCTTTCAGCCTAGGAAGAGGGGGATTTGGAGGGTGGCAGTACCCCCTTAAGGAACTTGCCACTGTGAAGAATGGAGTGTCATTATTATGTACGCTTGGCATGTTTCATTGGGTTTTTGAAGTGATGGGGGAAACAGTCTTCTTGGTATTGGCTCTGGAGTCTGAGGACCTGAATTCAGATTCTGCCTCTGAGACTTGCAGCTTGTATGACCTTTGGCAAGTCAATGAAACTTCTTTGGGCCTCAGTTTCCTCATCTATAAGATGAGGGATTTGAGCTAGGTGACCTCTATAGTCCCTTCCAGTTCCAAATCTATGAATCTGGGCCCAAACGGCTTAAGCCTCTTCAAGCTATCTTGTGTTTATGTTTCCTTGGATGAAATGCTTCCCTTTTCTTTCCTTTGGTTGGGTGAGGGTGGAGTGGTGTTAGTTATTAGGAAGATTGAAAGAAGCCACCTTCATAAAATGTTCTTTCTGACTTAGATGGATCACTGTGGAGGGTTCAGAGGAAGAGTGCCAAATTTGGACTTGGAGCATCTGGGCTCTATCCTGGCTCCATCGCTTGCATACTCCCTTTGTGGCCTCTGGCAAAGCTCTTTGTCTCTGTAGGTCTCAGTTTCCCCATCTGCACTCTGAGGGAGTAGGACTAGGGACTTCTGCAGTGCCTTCTAGCCCTAAATCTATGGTTCTGTAACCTTCATTTCAGGGCTGAAATCTAAGAGAAGAGTAGAAGGAGCCCTGTCATGTTCTGAGTCTGAGGGAGGCAGAAGGAAAGGATGGCGTGGGCATTTCTAGAAAAGGGGAAATGGCTGGAAGAGCCAGCTTGTCCAACGGGTTTTTTAAATGAAGAGTAGGATAGGACAAGAGTTACTCTTGTAGGTTGTGCCCAACCAGAGGCTGGTCAGACCTTTCATATGTCATCCTTACAGGTGCCCTTGCTTCCCACAAACAAAGAGGTTGATGGAGTCTTATGAGCTATGCGAATACAGACCCACAGAGTGCCTGGAATGTGGGCTAATGTTTCTGGGGTTCCTACATGTGAAGGGATGGTGCCTCAGGTGCTCTGTTGTGAGCAGGATTGATGAACTGGCTCGGAAAACATAGATAGACAAATAAATCAGTGAGCCTGAGGCCACCCAGTTTGGGCTACAGAGTGTTTTATAGTCCAGTTCGATTGTTTCTTGTGTTTTATTTATAAATTTATTTGCCTCTTTTCCCTTATTGAATAATCACACATGTTGTCTGCCCCCTTCTTTCTCTCTTCTCTTCTCTCCCTCTCTCTGTCTCTCTTTGTTCTCTCCCCGCCCCAAAATTCTTCCCTATAGCCTCTTTCCTTCTTCTCTTCCAGACTCTTAGAAAGCTTGCTCTGCACTCATTCCCTTACTTCCTTATAGCCTACTCCTGAAGATCTTGAAATGCTCCTCCCCCCCAAAAAAAAAAACTGTTGAAAAAGTTCTTGCCAAGGTCACTAAATAAACTCCTTCCTTCTGACTTGAATGACTTTTTTTTTTCCTGTCTTCATCTCTTTGGCCCATACTCTCTGCCATTACTGTGCGTCACTCTTCTCCCTGACACATTACCATCCCTTCCCTTCCACAGCACTACATTCTAAGGGTTCTCCTCCTACCCCTTTGACCACTCTTCAGTCTCTCTGGCTGCTTCTTCATCCTCCTTCTGCCCCTTAACAATGGATGTCCCCCAAGGTGCTGTCCCAGGCCCTTTTCATGTACTATCTCCACCATCAATCTCCCAGCACTTCATACATCACCTCTATGCAAGTGACTCTCAAATCTATGTCTCCACCCTCAATCTCTCCCCAGAGCTCTCCATTCCCGCATTTTCCAGTCTATTGGATACCTTCAGCTGGATGACCTGAGCTCAACTTGTCTGAGACTGAACTTCACCTTTCCCACTAAACATCAGCTGAGTGACAGCACATTCAATATTCCACACCCTCTAGTTCTCCCCTTGTCCCTGGGGCAGGTTTGCTAAGAAAAGAGGGAGGTGGTTTCTCAATTCTGCTGCACCCCAAGTCCTTTTGATTCTACCATCTCTGCATGTCACGAATGACCTCCTTTCTACTCCCATGGCAACCACCCCAACACAAACCTGTTCTAGGCTCTCGCAATAGCTTCATAAATAGTCTTCCCCCTCTCCCACCCATCCTGCTATCTAGGTATTCGTAGGATCATAAGCTTAGAGCTTAGAGATCTTTTCATCCCATCTCCTCATTTTACAAACAAGGAAACTGAGGCCTAGCGAAAATAAGTGAATTGACCAAGACCATAAGAGTAGTAAGCAGCAGAGGCCGGATTTGAATTCGCAACATCTGAGTACAGACAGAGGAGATATTGTTCCTGCTGTATCATTCTTCCTCCCAGTGTTCCTAATGTGCACCACCACGTTTCTCTTTGCTACCAGAGCCTGGTGCAGAGCCTCCTCCCTGCCAGAAATGGGGTGGGACTGGGGAGGGGCCTTCTGCAGGTTGGGGCCTTTCCTTTGTTTTGCTACCCTCCTGACGTGAGCTACTTTCAATGGAATTTGCTGCCTTCTTCTCAGAAGGGAAGCCAGCAGCTGCACGTTGGGCTCACGAAGGGCTCAGGTGAGTTTGGGGCCGGTGGGTTGAGCTTTCTTTGTATCGCTCCCACTCCCACTGCTTAATTGGAAACAGTTTGGTTGTGCCAGCGGGAGCAAGGCCAGTGGTTTGCTTTAGGGCACCTGCTCTGCAGACAACCAAGATTACATAGTGGAAAGAGTGAGAGTGAGGGACAGAGTCAGCAGAGGCCCAGGTTCACATTCCTCTTCCGACTGTCCATGGGCAAGTCCTAGAACCATAGAGTTAGAAACAGGAGACTTTAGAGACTGTGTAATCCAAATCACTCATTTTTTTTCCCAGATGAGCCAAGTAAGAACCAGAGAAGTTAAACGTTTTGTTCACTGTCACAAAATAAGTGACAGAGAGTGGGAGCCAGGGTGAACCCAGGGCAGTCCAGTCATTGAGCATTTATTAAGCTACTGTATGCCAGACACTGTGCCAAAGTGCTGGGGCCACAAAGAGAGGCAGAAGACAGCTCCTGCTCTCAAGGGGCTCAGGGTCTGATGAGAGAGACAACATGCACCCAAGTGCTCTGACTATAGAGCTCCACTGGGCGATGCATTGAGCCTCTCTTTGCCATGGTTTCCCCATGTCTGCAATGGATATAAAAATATTCAACAGCCCTTATCTCCCAGGACTATTGTGAGGATCAAAGGAAATAATGTGTTTAACAACCTGTAGCCCTTTCAGCATAGACCATGTGTGTGCATGCATGACCTCTCTCCTGACCCCTCCCACCCCTGCCCCCAACAACATCTGCCTAGGAATGGCTAATTCTGGTCCCCTGTTGGGGGCATCTCTCAACTCCTCCAAGCCCATCCACCCACGACTAGAATCCTCCATTGTGGGATTTGTTGGGAAGGTCTAAGATGCCTTTTCTGACTGCAGGAATTGTTGAGCCGCACGTCACTCGAGGCACAGAAACTAGAGCTGACAGCGGAGGTTTCCGAGCTGAAGCTCCGGCTGGTTGGCATGGAAAGGGAACAGAGGGAGCAGGAGGAGAAGCAGAGGAAAGCTGAGGTGAGTATCACTGGCACATCTCAGCCTGCCCAAGGCACCCCATGAAGGGCCAGCTCTTCAGACAGCCAAGCTGGAAGGCCAAGTGTGTTAGAAGCCCACAGGCCAAGTTAGGAGGAGACTAGCTGCTCAGGCTTTTTGGAAACACCCATTTGGCCTAGCAGGGAATTTCGCATTGTGCTCCAGCTACTAGAGCAAGGCTGACCACTGTTGTCTGCAAGGCTCTTGGAGCGACATGGGACAGAGGGAGAAAGATGAGAAAAACTACAAGGCTTGGAATTTGAATCTTGCCGCAGACACTTATTGGTTGTGTAACCCTGAGCAGGTCACTGATTGTCTCTCAGCCTCAGTTTCCTCATCTGTCAAATGAGGAAGTTGAACTCCTTCCAGGCTCTCCTTCAGACACCGAGAGGAGAGGTCATTGTTGTTGAAGCCTGCCTCTTCAACAGAGAGCCAGTGGAGTTTGGGTGTAGGGTGGCACATATGTTGTCAGCCATGGTCAACATGCCAACCTGTGCTTTTTTGTATCTAGGGAAGGTTCCATTTAGGGGCAAAGGGACAGAGAGGGGGTCATTAGGAAGTGACAATGATGTTTCCAAAGGGGAGGCACACCAAGGAAATAAACGTTTAAGGATATTTTTGAGAAACAGAATGCCATGGGTCTGGTATTTATTTAGCTGGAATGCAATTGATCACCAAGTGTGCCAATGTTGGCCACTCTTTGGGGAGACTCAAACGTGTGCCAACAGGGTGTGAGGGCTTTTCCCCCCAGCTTCTTGGACCCCCAGTCCTAATGATCTATGTGCTAAAGCAAGTATATGTCTACATGGGCTGCTTCTCTTGACAGCAAGCTTTTTAGTTCTGGAAAAGAGAGAGAGAAATTATTGCTGGGCCCTAGAAAGAACACTGGATGTGGAGTCAAAATACTCTGGTTCAAGTCCTATCTCCAGCAGTTCCTGGCCAAGTCATGTGGTTCTTTGGAGCCTCAGTTTTCCTCATCTGTTAAATGGGGATAATGGCATTATCATTCGCTCTTTTAAAAGCACTGTATAAATGGAAGCAGAAACAGCAGCTGTGGGTAGTGGAAAGACTAATTAGTTTGGTGGAATTATGCCCAGACCCTCTCTCTGCTGCTTATTACCTTGAGCAACAATAATGTTAATAATAATAACTGGCATGTTTATGGCCCTTTAAAGTTTGCAAAGTCCTTTATGCACATGATCTCACAACATCTGTGTGGGTTGGGTTAGGGATGGTGAGCAAAATTGCCTCATTTTAAAGATGAGAGAACTGAGGCCCAGAACAGAAAAATACCTTTCCTGTGGTCAGACATTTCATGAGTGTCAGAGGCAGTATTTGAACCCAGGTCTTGCTGAAGCTGGCGCTTTCTACCTTGCCATTCTGCTTTGTAAATGACTTCACCTCTAGTTCTGGGGATTCTTCTTCTGTGATCTCTCAGCTCCCTTACAACTCATCTCTGATTTCTTCTTGCCCTGGGCTGTTTTTTAAAGAACAATTTATGGATACCTTTCATTTTGACACCATGATCACTTCCCAATACTGGCCCCACTCCCACGATATAGAACCTTCCTTTGCCCCTGGACAGAAATGCCCTATTCTATATTCTTAACTAATAGTCATCCAGTTGGAGGCTGACAACCTCCAACGATGTGGAAGGTGCTTTTGGAATGGTCGTATTGTTGGGAGATTTTTCCATATACCAAGCTGAAATCTGTTCCTTCATGACTTCCACCCATTGTTCCCAGTTTTGTCCTCTGGGACCAGTAAGAACAATTTTGATCCCTCTTTTAGATGACATCTTTTAGATCTATTCAGTTTTCATAACCCCCTAAATCCAGGCCAAACCTCTGCAGTTCCATCAACTTATCCTTGGGTGACATGGTTTTGAGGCCTTCCATCATACTGGTGACCCACCCTCTACACATACTTGTAGGCTCGTCAGTGTCTTCTTAAGAAGGGGCTCCCAGAACTGAGCACCGTACTCCAGAGTGGTCAGACCAAAGCCAAAGACTGGGATTAAAACCTCCTTCATTCAATTTGACATTTAATAAACACCTACTGTATACCTGGCATTAGGTGCTGGGATTACAAAGATGAAACAGCCCCTACTCTCAAGAGGGTTTAATTCTTTGGGGGAAATACTATCCTTCTGAATACTAATACTATGCTTTTATTATAAATACAGCCCATTATAAATTAGATTTGGGGTTTTCTTTGGTTGCCACATGATACTGATGACTCAATGTGCTGGCTAAGTGTTTGGGTAAATTTTTCCATTGACTGTTGTCAAAATTTGTTTCAAATTCTCATGCTGTCATTCAAGCCATTAGCTTTCCCTCCCAGCTTTATGTCATCTGCAACCCTGATAAATACATCTGTATCTTCATCCAAGCCATTTACATAGATGTCAAATGACACAGGGTGAAGGATGGATCCCATAAAGCTATTTTTGACTACTCCATTATAGCTCCCAGTGATCATACTTCCTCTTCTAAGTTCTTGCAAGCTATACCTTTAGTATATAGATATCTGGGGCCACAAGTTGTATTACTGCCCTCCTTCCTAGATGAATTTGGTGAATTCTTGGGCCACTCTATCCCCTGTTTCTAGGATTCTTAATCTTTTTATGTTATGGATACTTTTGTCAGTCTGGCAAAGCTGAAGGACTCCTCATAATCTTCTTTTTAAATGCATCAAATAAAATACATAGGATTATGGAGGAAACCATTTATATGGAAGAACAGTTATCAAAATGTTTCTTTAAAAAAAGTTCATGGATTCTAGGTTAAGAACCCCTATTCTCTTTCATATTTGCTACTCTCTCCATAACATCTGGTTTAGTAGACATATATATACAGACATATATATATGTCTATATATATATGTATGTATGTATGTATGTATGTATGTATGTATGTATGTAAAATCCCCTCCCCTCCATCTTTACTTTCAAGCTTCCTTGACCCCAAATCTCTTCTTGCCAGTATAAATATTGTGTTTCAATATAGATGATTCTTTTTTCATTTGTTTTTGGTTTTTTGCTAGGCAATGGGGTTGAGTGACTTGCCCAGGGTCACACAGCTCGTAACTGTCAAATGTCTAAGGCCGGATTTGAACTCAGGTCCTCCTGACTCCAGGGCCAGCGCTGTATCTAGATGATTCTTTAATGATTTCACTTAATCTCCTAGGGCCAGCCTCAATTTCCTTTTCTATAAAATAAAGAAGAGCTGAACCATTTCAGGAATTCTTAACCTACGGTCCAAGCACTTTTTAAAAATATGTATTTTGATAACTTTTTCAATATAATTGGTTTCCATTGTAATCCTATGTATTTTATTTTATGCATTTAAAAACATGATTCTGAAAGGGGGTCCACTGGCTTCACCAAAATGCTGGGGCAGGGCAAACCATCACATCAAAAAAATTAAGAACCCCTGAATTGGGGGAAGAGGAAGTAAGGAACAAGCATTTATTAGGCACCTGCTGTGTGCCAGGTGATGTACTAAGTGCTTTTACAAATATTATCTCATCTGATCCTCTCAACAACCTTAGAAGACAGGTACTATTATGCTCCCCATTTATAGTTGAGTAAACTGAGGCAGACCGGGTGATCTCTAAGGTCCCTTCCAGATCCCGTGGACCAATCTGACATCAGAAGCTTTTCCAACAACCTTCCTTGGGCCACAGATGATCTGATTTATTCCAGTTTGTCAGTTAGCTAGCTCAGGGAAGACTTGGCCTCATTTTGCCTTCTGCCGTGTTCAGACTTAACTTTATCTTTCCTCACCTCCCAGAAATCAGAAAGACAATGAAACATTTATGCTACAGCATGTTCAGACTACTTCCTGAGCTCTCTTGTGACTGTTTTCCCCTCAGCCTATCTGCCGCCACCTCTTGGGGAGGCAGATCTCCTCTTGTTCATTTTAAAAACAAAGACAAGATTGATAGCGCTGAACATTTCTCTGGTTCTTAGGAAACCATCATTCCCTAGCTCCCACCCCATTCCCTTCTCCGCATCAGGATTAAATACAAATCTGCATTCTGTTGCATGTTGGAATTGCAGAATCTAAGTTTACAAACATAACTTTAAAGCAAAATATAAAGAGGTTTTTTTTTAAGCTTGCCATCAGAACAAGATAATTTACAAAATAGGCTGGGGAACTTGGAAGATGACAGGGGGTGGGGCTGAGAGCCTCTCCACAGCCTTACCTTCCCTCTCCCAAGTCCTCAGCACTGGGGGCTTTTGTGGAATCACTTCTGAGAAGCTAGATGGTGTTAATTTCCCTTGGGATCCTGTAGACCTGGAATAAAATTTTTAAATGTGATTTTAAAAAAAATTCCATCACAATTAAACTAGTCAGTTGTCCTCATTAAACAGTCCCCTTTCCCCCTCTTTTATCCCTTGTATTTTCCTATTCTATGGATGATGGAAAAAGTTTTTGTTTTTGTTTTTTGGAAGCTAATCACTAAAATGAGGTTGCTAATTTTTTGCAGATCCTAGTTAGCTCTCAGTCCAAGGCTCACAGGCTTCTCAGAGCCTCGTGGGGGAAAAGAGAATGGAAAGTCACATGTATTGTTTGTTTTTCCTCTCCTGTGATCTGGAGTCCAGAAGAACTGAGTTTGAATCCAACCTAGAGATTTCCTAACTGTGACCTTGGACAAGTCACTTCACCACTGTCTGCCTCAGTTTCCCCAGCAACAAAACGAGGATCATAATATCACCTATCCCACAGGATTGTTGGAGGATCAAATAAGATAACATTTGTGAAGTGCTTACAAGGCACGTAATAGGCATTTAATAAATGTTTGTTCCCATCCTTTCCTGTGCACTGTTAGATTCTTCATATTGGCTTTTTACATTTCTCATTTCCTGAGAACAGCTCTCATCATCATATTCCTCATGACTATCCTTAAGGACTCAATTTCTCTAGTGCCTGGCAGTTTACATAGCCTTTTCCTCACAACAGCCCCCTCAGGTGAGTAATCAATCAATCAATCATTTAATCAACAATTATTTTGTTAAGTGCCTAGTATGTGTGAGGCACTGTGCTAGGCCCACGGGATATGAAGACAAAAAATGCCCATGTCAAGGATAAAAGGACTGGACGTAAGAGTCAGGGATACCAGAGCTTATATTATTTGTGTTTTTATATTCTCTGGAACTAAGTGAACCAAGACTTTAAGTGCCTATTATTTGCTAGGCCTTGTGCTAAGCCCAGAGAACACAGAGAAAGACAAAAGATGTCCCTGCTTTCACAGCCTATAATATCATTATCTTGGTTTTTTAGTTGAACAGCTCACCCAGATAGTAAGTTCAGAGACAGGACTTTGACCCAGGTTTTCTGATTCAAAATCTAAACCAGAGGTTCCCAAATTTATTTGGCCTCTCTCTCTTTCCCCCTCCTTTAAAAAAAAATATTACTCAGTGCCCCCTTAGAAATACCTTTTTTAACCTTTAGCAGTTTTTTTTAATTTGCATCATTTCAAAAAATATATATAATGTTTTGAAATGATATATCTTAATTTGATAACTTATTGTAAATTTGTGGGTTTTTCCCAGCATTGAAATTTTGATACGGTATTGCATCATGTAACCATAGTATTGTATTGTAAACAAGTCGTTACATGCACATATTCCTTCCCATGCATGCTGAACTTCCTAACAGTGCACTACATGCTCACCTGCCACCACTTCCTTGTTAAGACTTGTTGGTGGACTTGACCGCTGTTGGGCTGTAACTTGCATTTTGTATGTTTATTTGGAAAATAATGTAATCACTAGACTTTAACTCTGTTACACAACAGATGAAACATGTGTGAACGTTTTTCAAAATTTTCTTATCTTCTTTCCTAATGCTTCCATAACCCCCTTATTTTTATTCACCGTCTCCCAGTTGCACGGAGGCTAGTACCTCCCCATCTCCCCATTATTTCAGCACCCCCCCCAGGGGGTGGCATCACCCACTTTGAGATCCTGTGTTCTACACATTGTTCTTTCAGGCATTTATTTATTTTTATTTTTATTTTTGGCTAGACAGTGGGGTTAAGTGACTTGCCCAGGGTCACACAGCTAGTGTCAAGTATCTGAGTTCACATTTGAACTCAGGTCCTCCTGAATCCAGGGCTGGTGCTCTATCCACTGTGCGACCCAACTGTCCCGCTTTTTTTTTTTTAATCACAAAGTTAGTAACATTTGCAACAAATATAAATCAGTGAACAGAATATGTCGCTGAATGCCAAATAAAAGTATTCAACCTGAACCATTTGGCTTTTGGTTGAAAAATATGTATAATACAATCTGAAACAAAATAGTAATGATTTGTTTATTCTGGGTTCTCTCTCCCTTGCTCCCTCTTCCTCCTTCTACTGAGAGATTAAGTGACTTGCCCCAGGGCCACACAAATCAGTCTTTGTCAGAGGCAATGTGATCCCCAGATCAAAGGATTTGATCTAGTTTTTTTGTATGTTTGTTTGGGGCCTTTTATTTATACAGCCAAGTTGTTCTCTGAAAAGTCTCATCAGCCTACAATCCCTCCAGCAAGGTTTCCCCATATTCTTTCTGGTGGAGAATTTTATCGTTTTTAAATCCTTCCTTTGCCAGTTTAGTGGATATAAGATGTCACCTGAAAGTTATTTGAACTTATTTTTTTTTGTTTATTAACCAATGGGAACAGCTTTTTAAGAAGTCAAAAACTGTGCTCTGAATAGTTCTCCTTTGAGGAATGGGTATTCATGGATCCACATCAGATCCTGTTAGAGTTGCATATCAGATTTTGATGAGAGATATTTATTCCAGATTCTCTTCCCTGCTTCTGTTTCTTTTCTTTTTATTTCAGAAACACTGGTTTTCTTTATGAAAATTCCTTTTATCTTTGACTAAACCAATGTGGTTGCCAGTGATTTCTTCTGATCTGTGTGATATTTAACATTTTTCTCTTTTCCACTAAATTGTTGTTTTCATGAAATCTGCCTTATGATAACTTGTAATATTTGGGTCTTCTTCCAGTTGGAGTTTATTTAAGAATACAATGTGATACGATAATGAGATTGGAATATGATTGCCCACTCACCCCCTTTTTTCATACTGATAACCATTGTGATAAAACATTATTTACTCTTTAAAGGTTGGAAAAAAATTTACATAGCAGTCTTTCTGGGTTTGTGCCTTTTGCTGAGGCAAGTCATTTGTCTGATTTCTCCTACATATGAGTTATTTAGGTTAGCTATTTTTTTGGTCAGTTTTGTATTTTGTATTTTGGTAGCTATCATTTCATTTCTTTTAAGTTTTCAAATTTATAAAATAATTCTTATTTTAAATTTTGGTAATTTGTTTTCTCTGTGTTTTGACTAAACTTGCTAATTTTGAGATTTTTAGTCTTTCTAAAAAGCCTTTCAACATGTTCATTGTTTTCTCATTTTCTATTTTATTAATACCTGCAATAATCTGTTATTTTATTTTTTCTGTTTTCATTTGATACACTCCATTATATGTACTTTGATATAGTCTTTTGTTCCTTTTCTAAAATATGAGAATTTTTTTCTGTCTTGTTCTTATAAGCATTCAGGACTATAAATTTGCCTCTGAATGGTGCTTTGGTTACATTCCATACACTATGATATATAATGTTTTATTGTTATCTTTAATGTAATCAGTTCCTATAGCTATAATTTCCTCTTTCCATAGGTATTATTTGATTTTATAATTCGGTTGATTGGCTTTTGTAAGCATTTATTGTCACCGTATCACTGCCTTAACCCCAATTCAACAATAAAAAGAAAAAAAATCATAACAAATATGCATAATCAAAAAAATTCTGCATTGACTATGTCCAGAAATGTCTGTCTTATTCTGCTCTGTAAGTCATTTCCTCTGGCAGAAGCTAGATAGTGTGATTCATCTTCAGTCCTCTGAACTCATGATTTAGCATGGTGTTGAACAGTTACTAAACTCTTTCAAAAGTTGTTTTCTTAGGGGCAGCTAGATGGCCCAGTGGATAGAGCACCTGCCCTGGAGGCAGGAGGACTTGAGTTCGAATCCTTTTTGAAACTCTTACCAGCTGTGTGACCCTGGGCAAGTCACTTGATTACCTCAAAAAGAAAGTTGTTTTCTTTAAAGCATACATATGTATAACATATTTTTCTACATGTTGATCCTTTTCCTCTGTCTTTCATGTTTGAGAAATATATGCCCACCAGAGGTACTGCTAGATCAGAGGATATGCAGAGTTTAATGACTTTTGCCTGTGGTTCCAGACTATTTTCCAGAGTGTTTGGACCAACAATACTTGGTGTACCTGCCCTCCTAACATTGACTATCCAGATTTTTTGTTCTCTTTCGAAACCACATGTGTCCTTTCAAAGAAAATTGACAAATGGTGAAATTTCTTGATTTTTTTCCCCATTCAAGTCTTCCCTCATAGCTTTTAAAACCAGTTTGTTTAATCCTCCATTCCATTTGATAAGTTATTTTTTGTCTCAGTTCTATTCTGTTATCTAAATGATAGTCTATTATCGATTTTCTGTGTCTTTCTGCAAAAATTGTTTTTTTTATAAATTTACTATATTCTTCTATGAATAGGCTTAGGTATAGGGACTAGACATGTGATTTCATGGGATACTGGGAACTCCCTGGCCAGAAAACTCCCCCTACCTGTGCAGGAAGATGCCTTCTCTGCAACACAGAGTGTTCGAGAGTTGCCTGGGGCGGGAGGTGGGGGATTTGGCCAGGCTGGGGAGGACTTCCTGCTCCAAAGTCCCCTCTCCACCCACTATGCCAACAAGCTGCCCCTTCTATGAATACATGGTGTGTTCTGATTTGGGGGGATGATATAATTTCCTTGTTTTATATCTCACAATTTTGTCTGGTTTGAATTCAGCTTTGTCAGATTCAGTCAATGCCAAGCATTCATTCTTGCATCTCCCTCAGCACCTAGGACAGGGTCTTGCTGAGTAACCTACTCCTTGAATTAAATTAAATTGAACTGAAGTGCCTCCAGCAATGACCAGTGGTAAAAGGCAGCTTTTTGTTCAGTTCCTCTAAATAGCGTAAAGTTAAAAAACTCTTGAATATAAAAACACTCCATTATTTTTTTTCCCATCTTGAAAATCCCAACAAAATTCTAATTCATAGAGGGCATCAGTTTCCTCATCTGTGACATTAGGAGGTTGGATTAGTCCCTGCTCTAACTATCTATGATTTTGCTCTCCTGTCTCTTCCCTTTTTACAGTTAGTAGTGAATCTGATCAGTGATCTACAGGAGCAGATGTGTAGACTACAGCTGGAAATCAGTAGCCAAATTCAAGAGAGAATGTTGCAGGACAGGGACCACATGGATGAATGTAGCCCTCAGGAGAGCCCCCAGGCCAGCAACCCCGATGGCTTGCCTGTATGAAGCATACCTAAGTATATCCAAGCATGAGTTGGTGCTGCCTTGAGTTTGCAGAGAATTCTGGATTCTACTAACAAGAGTCTGCCTTGGGTACCAGCCATTCCTCTGTTTGACTCTGGGCAGAGCCCAGGGGCCATTTTCCTTTCTTTGACTTGCCCCATTTCACCTTTTCATTCTTGTATCTAAAGTTACCCGGAGGAATAACATGGCTTGGACAGTCCTTCCTAAGGCCTCTCTCTAATTGTGTGCTGTGTATCTATTAACAACTTGACGGTAGCCCAAGGGCAGGTAAGAGAACTTGCCTGGCTGCCCGGTCTTTGTCCAGTGACGAAGAGGAAGAAAATAGTAACCCACAAGGTACTTGCTCATATTCCCCGAATTTGGAAATCAATTTAAGCTTCATTAAATCTAACTTGTTCTGACTTAAAAGAATTCCAATGGTATATGAGGAATTGGCAAAGGAGGAATAGCTTCTTCCCCTGTTTAATTAAAAACTGGAATAAAGCTTCCTCCTCTTGCTTGCAATTATGTTTTTGATGAGGAAAAGAGAGAAAAATTTCCAGCTAAAATGGAAAATCCAGATAATATGGAGGACATGCCAGGTGCTGCATTAAGCACTTGGGGACATTGTAGGCAGAAGGAAAATAGTGTAAGAGGTGCTCAGTAATTATCAAGAGAAGAAGGGAGTTAGAAACAATAGCCTCTGGTATACAATTCATTGTTAATTGGAGCATAGATAATTAACACATGAGATTTTAACACAAGGAGGGAATGTACAAATATATATGTATGTATATATCATACACATACATAACTACAGAGGAATCACTGAGATTTGGAGAAACTGGACTTAGGACAGGAAATCTGAGGTGATGGAAAGGTATATTTTATCCAAGAAGAATATATTTTAAAGAAGGCAAAGGGCAATAGTACTATTTGTCTGTGGTAGCTACCATTTATAGAGCACTCAAGTTTTACAAAGTGCTTTATATATTACATCATATACAAGCACCCTCTGAGGTAGGGAAAAACTGGTTATTCAAAAGAGCTTAACTCTTCAGAAAGGAATGGTTTGCCTGGGTAGGTAGGTAGCACGTTGCTCATCAGCGGAGGTATTCAAGCAAATGCTGGGTGTTGTAGAAGAGATTTATTGCTTGAGGTCGAGCTAGATGCCCTTACACATTCCTTCTAGTTCTGGGATTCTAGGATTAGGTGGTTCTTTTAGAGAAGAGTCTTGGGGTTAAATTGTCCAACATATTGAGTGCTACTCTTCCATCCATTCACCCTGGACCACTGCAGCCCTCCTGGTCTCACCCCTTTTTGAACCCCTGCAGCCTCTTGCTGGCAGGACTTCTTGTTTGGCACCAAGCCCATGCTACCTTCTGTTGTTCTGTTGGCTTCCTGTCTTCCCAGCTGGACCTTGAGTCCCTGGAGAGCTGTGCCTGGGTCCGATCCACTCTGTTATCTCCCTTGAAGTGTCCAGGACTGGGCCCTCCCTGGCAGAGGTCATCACTCAGTGTTAGAGCACAGCAGATATTGCTTAACTTGCCTTCTGCTTTGCTTGCATCTCCATTTATCCCCTTCTAGTCCTTCTAAGCTCAGTTTCCTTCGAGGCATCATTGTCCTGTCCTCTGACGGTCCCAAGCTTGAAGCTTGTCTCCTGATTGCCTGAGCCCCAAGCCACGAGGTGGGACACCTGTCATGCTCAGTTCCCCCTCTGTCAGGGGAACTGAGAGTGCAGAGGTGGGAAGGGTGCCCTCCGAAGCAGAGGAGGCAGCTACTGTCTGCTCTGGGCCAGAAAGTCCCAGGACAATGGAGAACAAAAAATGAAACATCTCTCTTCACTCTAGAGGGAGGCTGGGGACCACAGACGCAGACTGTCACTTAGTTGTGTTTAGCTGTTTTTGCTTATTGTGTAACAACATTGAAAATAGTTATTTATGTCTTTATCATTTGCTTCACCGTTAGTAAATTATGTAGCCAATTTATTATGCAAAGGAGGATTCTGATCTGAAAGGTGTGGGGGCAATGTGTCCAGAAATTACTTTGCTGTGAAAACGTTAATAGATCTTACTTAGGAGGTGCCTATAATTCTTCTCAAAGAGCTGCCCCCACACAAACTGGAAAAGCCTCTAAAGGCGGAAATAAGAGGTTCAGCCAGGCATGGCTGACATTGGCTATGCAAAAGCCTGAATAATTTAGTGTCAGACATTGCACACCTGGACCAGCTAACGCACCTTCTCTCTCTCTCTCTCTCTCTCTCTCTCTCTCTCTCTCTCTCTCTCTCTCTCTCTCTCTCTCTCTCTCTCTTCCTTCCTCCTTCTCCTCCCCCATCTCCTTCTCCTTCTCTTCCTTCTCTGTCTCCCCTCTGTCTGCCTGTCTTTTCCATTCTAGGAATTGCTACAGGAACTCAAGCATCTCAAAATCAAAGTGGAGGAGCTGGAGAGTGAACGAAATCAGTATGAATGGAAGCTGAAAGCAACAAAGGTAAAAACCACCAAGCCAGATGATCAGTGGTCCTGACACCTGGAGACAAGTGACCTCACATGGGGAGGGCCAGGATGTGAATGCCAAACGAGGCCTCTGCTGGCCTAGTTCCATCTTCTGCTTGGAAATGGCCAGTTCTTTTTCCCCTTTCCAATAACAGGCATTAGAACCAAAGGCTCTGACTGAGTCCTAGGGCACAGGTGTGGACATCCTGCATAAATAAAAATGGCAACAAAAGTGGGGGGTAGGCCTCTCCATTAATACTGAAATTGCAGGCAGCTAGGGGGCACAGTGGATAGAACGCTGGCCCTGGAGTCAGCAGGACCTGAGTTCAAATCTAATCTTAAGACACTTATTAGCTGTGTGACCCTGAGCAAGTCACTTAGCCCTGATTGCCTTCCCCCAAAAAAAAATCAGAGGTGTAACTACTACTGTCATTTCACCCCTACTTCTTTCTCCCTCCTGCTCCTGCCAGAGAATCTCATAAATTAATTAAAAGGTAGATGGAGGGAAATAAGCATCTACATCCATAGCCCCCAACCTCTGCAAAGAAGTAAGATGAGATGCGTTCTCAGAGCTCTTCTTTGGAGCCAAGTGCAACAGTGCAAATTCATTAAGAGACTCTGATGTGTCAGGTCCTGTGCAAGGGATGGGAGATACACAGATTACAAATGAACCATCTTCAAAATAATTGAGTTATTTTAATCAATGAGCATATTTCTAAAATCTTCCCCTGAAGTCCTCCCTTCTGCCTCCATTCCTGAATGCTGCCCTCAGAAAGCAAGGTCTGACAGGTCCCAACAGGCCAGAAAGGACTTGAGTATCACCAGATACGGGGTTTTTGTCAGAATCATCCGGCCTCAGAGAATCTCATCACCAGGGGATTGGCCATGAGGTGATAATGTGTTGGGGGAGTGGAGAAGGGCACAGGAACTCCTTACTCAGGTGCAGGGATCTCCTTCACTGATGAAATAATGGATCGTTTAGGTATCCCACTAAGTAAATTAAAGAATATATTTAGCTCTTCTAGGCAGAGTATTACTTGCACTTTAAAGGGATCCTGACCATCCCAAATCTATCATGGCTGCTGTGGAAGCTTTCATGAAAGAGGCTACTGATGCTAAAAGCAGTAAACCAACATTAGTGGTGCCAATATTAACCCACACAAGAGAAGACTGGTATGCTAACTTGAGACTCCTAGTGGCAGGAGACAGGAGGGCCAGGGAAGCAGGAGTTACCAAAACTATTCAGCACTGGTTAAAAAACCAGAAAAGTAAATCAGTGGAATCAAGTACTTTTCTCCAAAACAGTTAAGCAAGACGGCCCAACAAACGCTATGATAGTTACTAATAGAACGTGTCATTTTCTTCTTTGGAATTTTACCAATTATTAATAGAAAGGATGTGAAACAGTGTCATACAGTGGCTAGAAAGCTGGTCCTGGTATCAGGAAAACCTAGGTTAAGTCCTGCCTTCACTGGGCATGTGACATCGGGCACCTCTCGGTGCCCCCAAACTGCTCTTCGTGATTGTATATTACAGAGAGTCTTTGCACAAGTAGAGGGCCTTAATTATACACTAGGGGCTTTAAATAGTGCGGGGATTATTATTCCTAGTTTTTAGATAAATCCAGGTTTAGAGTGGCTAACTGGCTTTCCCCTGATCATACAGCTAGTAACCAGCAAAACTGGGGCTCAAAAGCGGGTCTTCAGCCTCATAATACAATGAGTACACCATAATGTCTATGTCCATGGCAGCCTTCTTGCTGCCCAGAAGTGGAATTGATCCCAAAGGGTGAGATGGGAGCTAGCTGGAAGCCTGGTTCCTTCACGTGGGAGCACGCCGGAGCCCTGGTCCCCGCAGCTGGACACAGAAGGTCAGCGTACTGGTCCCTGTGGCAGTGACTGAAGCAGACAGTAAGGCAATGAGCCGGTTAACTGAAGCACAGTTTCAAAGTTCGCTTGAACCATTCCCTGGTCACATTTGCTTGGGTCACTTGGGGACATTCACATCCCGGGCCAAGCAGGCAGTCAGTGGATAATGAAAGGTGAATCATCACTCTCCCCCTGCCTCACAGGGGTCACATTCTCAGTCTGGGCTCACTCTGTTTCTGGCCTCTGGCGGTAGTACTCACTCACTCACTCACTCATCTGAATGATGCCCTTGGCTCTTCCAGGCTGAGATCGCCCAGCTGCAAGAGCAGTTGGCATTGAAGGATGCAGAAATTGAGCGCCTCCACAGCCAGCTCTCCAGGACCGTGGCCTGCACTGAAAGCACAGAAAGAGGTAAAAAGGTGGTGATGCCCACAGAGCCGTGATGTTGTGGCATCCTGCCTATTACCCCATTGAAGGGAAGATAGTAACCACCCCCGGGGTAGGATGGGCATCCTGGTGCCCTCTATCAAAGGCATGCTTCCCCTCACATTCCAGCTCCCTTAGAGAAAATGTTGGAAGGGAAGCAAATGGAATGGTTTCCAAGGTGAACTCTAGAAAAAGACCATGCAATGTTTGAAAATTGCCTCACCCACCTACCAGCCCCACCTCTGATGTCCCTCCCTCACTCCCCCTTCCCCCACAAGATCGTACCCCTTCCTTGTTTTACATGCAGCTTGGCTTATCACAAAATGAACACCTGTTGGCCATAGACAGAAAGATCTACTCTTAGAAAAAATAAAATTTTAAGGTGGCCCTCATTACACCTCCTGCATGTTGTGCCCTGGGCTGCTGCCTGCCATATCTCTCCCTAATGCTGTCTTCTGTTTGCAGGACACCCAAGGTCAAGTGCATGGGCTTATATGTGGAATGAAGGTCTGTCTGGTCCTGTAGAGCAGGGGTGGGGATCCTGTGGCCTTCTAAGGTCCTCAGGTGCAGCCTTTTGATTGAGTCCAAGTTTTACAGAACAAATCCTTTTATGAAAGGGATTTGTTCTGTGAAGCCACCCTTGGCTGTACACCCTCCTGGGGTTTTAGAAGCGTCGAGGACCTCTGGGAAGTGCCTGGAAGCTCAGTTTTCCTTTCAAATTGAGAGAGAAATTAAGCTCAGAAAAAATAGGGGCATGAATGTAGACTCATAAGGTATTTGTCTATGGCCTTGCCCCATGCGCCACCTTGTGCCCAAGACATGGGAAGACAATTCTTGTCTTCCTTTCCTTTGACTACCAGTTTGTATCACTCTTTGGGAGAAAATTTTTTCATCTAAGGACCCTTTTACACTCTTAAAAATGATTGAGAACCCTATTGAAAAGCTTTAAAAACACGTATTGGTTATATCTGTCATTACACTTGTAATATTAGAAATTTAAATGCCGTAGTATATTTTATGAAAATAGTTTTGGCCTCTCAGACCCCCTGAAAGAGTCTTGGGGACCCCCAGAGATCCCGAGACTCCACTTTGAGAACCACTGGTTTAAGAGAAGTATAGGTAGGGCAGGCTTGCCTATGTAAATGGAAATAATATTCTACATGTCATTCTGTGAAAAGGCAGTGTAACATAGTGAATAGGGCCAGCCTCAGGGTAAGGACAATCTGGTTGAAAATCCTGCCTCAACATAGACTAGGGTGTGTCCCTGGGCAAATCATTAACCCTTTAGTGCTCTAGGCAGCTCTAAGAATGTAACACACAGGGGCAGCTAGGTGGCTCAGTGGATAACGCACCAGCCCTGGATTCAGGAGGACCTGAGTTCAAATCTGACCTCAGACACATGTTTCCTACCTGTGTGACTCTGGGCAAGTCACTTAACCCCAATCACCTCACAAAAAAAAGAATGTAAGGTACAGAGAAATCACAGGACCAAGCCAAAAACAAATTGTCATTTTATAAACAATGAAATTATCACTGATCACCCTAAATTTCCCCCAAAGTTTGCAAAGGAGGGCACCAGGTACAACTCTGTCTTCCTAGATCAAGGGAGAATTTTGTTTCTTCATACCTACTTCCTAAGGAACACAAAGGATCTGCCAGGGAGCTTTAGGCCAGGCCTAGGAAGCCATAAGGATCAGGCCTAAAACTCTGCCATAGGAAATGGCATAATGCCTTGGGCACCAGGCTTGGAGTCAGGAAGGCCTGGAGATTCACATCCCACTGCAGGTATACCAACTGCCTAGCTTTGGGCCCCTGGATCTGTAAAATGAGGGGCCCTTAAAGTCCTTCCAGCTCTAAATCCGCAATCCTACAAATCTTCTTTCTTCTAAGGGGAAGAGAACAAACTTTTATTTACATGGTGTCTGCTATTTGCCAGGTTCTGTACTAAGTGCTAGACAAATATTATCTCTGGGAGTTGCTATTATTAAATGCATTTTACAGTTGAGGAAACTGAGGCAAACTGCAATTAAATGACTAATAGTCAAATAGCTAATAAATGTCTGAGGCCAGATTTGAACTCTTGTCTTCCTGACTCCAGGCCCGGCACTCTCTCCACTTTACCATCTTGCTAATCTATACCATAAATACACAAGTATCCCAGAATGGCCCTATGTAGGTACCCTTCTAAACAGTTTAGGGCCCCTGTATGCTGACTAGGAAAGGGAAAAGGTGTGTTTGCTAAATAGTATGTTTTCAATGTAGGGAATGCCCAGCGTCAGTCCTTTTGAGATGGGTTGGTACTGTTGGTAAATATCTGAGGGGCATGTCTAATCTTTGCTTTTTCCTCCTGGTTTCCCATCCTAGAGGGAGTTTGTAAGAGAAGGCTAAAGGAAAAATGTAAGGCTCGAGATTCTCTTCCAACATCATGCTTTTGATCCTTTCCCCACCAATTATAGCTAAAATGCTCTGCACAGACAATGAATGCAACTGCCTAGTCTCACATGATTGTTCCATTATCTTGCCTCAATACAGGCCTGTATGTCATTGCTTGCAACAGATAAGTCGAGACCAGGAGGGTCCTAAACCCTCCATCACACAAATCACCTTAGAAATTCACTGTGATACGGAATCACAGCCAGAAACGTCACTCTGCTGGACATTTTAAAGGAAACTGTCAAGGTTTTCAGCCTCATTGCTCCTTTTTAAAATATTTTTATTTGTGTATTTTGTCTTCAGAGTATTATTTTTAAAATACTAGGACAGAATAAATATCATTTTTCTAATCCAGGAGTTTAGACCTTTTTATGCCACAGACCCCTGTGATAGTTTAATGAACCTTATGGGGACTCCCTCACAGAATTATGTTTTTAAATGCATAAAGTAAAATACTTAGGATTCCAAAGGAAACCAGTTATACTGAAATATAGTTATTGAAATTTTTTTTAAAAACAGCTGGACAGACTGTAGGTTAAGAACCCCGAGTCTGATCCATCTGTAACATCCTCTAAAAAGTGGTCATCTAGCCTGGACTTGAAGTCCTGCCAAAATGAAGAACTCACTACCTTCCTTTTTAAATTTTTTTAAAAATAAGTTATTTTCAGATGCACATTTCACTCTCCTACCTCCCTAGCCCTTCCCCCCCCCACTTTGAGAAAGCAAGAAAAACAAAACCCCCGTTACAAACATATACAGTCGAGCAAAACAGATTCCCACATTGGCCATGTCCAAAAATATGTGTATTTCTCAATTTGTCTTCTGAGAGTGCCACCTCTTTATGAAGAGATGAATAGCACGAGGCAGCCTGTTCCGTTCTGGTGATTAGCAAGTCCCTCGTATCAAGCCCAAATCTGTCCACAGTATCCTATCATTATTCTTTGCTTTGCCTTCTGGACCAAGTAGAAACAGCCCCATACTGAAAACAGCTATCACGCCCCACCTACGTCTTCTCTCCTCCTAGCTCCATAACCCTGCTTTCTTCTGCTGTATTCATGTGGCATGGCTTCCTGTCCCAACCCCCTGATATTTTCCACCTCATCTACATCTTTTCTCAAAGGACAGAACCCGACACTGGTCTGACCAGGGCAGAGGACCTGTCCATCACCTTCCTTGCTTCATTTGCTATATGAACCAGGCAGGCACATTGTCTGTGTTCCGTTGATCCCCACCTCCCATCGCTTGTAGCTGAAGTCTGGGATGTTACACTGTGGACTCCTCTTGCTTCATTTCCTCCACCATGATGACGTTGGACAAGGACATACAACAAACAGACCCTGGTGTTGGAAGACAGCAGGGATCATTAAAATGTGGAGCATTTCCTTGACAGGATTCCTTTTAAGGTCAAGCAGTGAAAGAGAAGCACGTCTTCCAGCATCTGCCTTTCTTTCCAACTGGCTGAGATGCCGTGCTCTGCTTTGCTGTCTTTCTGTCTGAGCTTGGGCCATGCATGGTACATGGGCCATGCTAACTAAAACCATTTTTCTTGTAAGAATTACCTTGGCAATAATTACACTAAATTATGATAGAACTCTAGTCCCTCTCACCAACCCCATCCAATATGTCTAGAGAAGAATCAGATTAGTCTGATTTTTTAAAAAATTCTGCTTTTATGTAAAATCTAATGTCATGTCTGCAGGTTTCTTTCATGTTCTGATTTTTTATAATGATGATTTTTATAATAATGATTTTTTTTTCATAAGCGGGTGACTGTGTTTGAGGACTTTTAAAGTCAGGGTTCTGTGTGAGTGCCTGGTGATACAATGGAAAGAACACTGGATGTAGGAGAAGATGAACCCAGGGGAGCAGAGCTCTTTAGCAGAGACCTCAGTCTTGGCTCAGCCTCACTTTTGGCCCCTTGGTTTCTAAATTATCTCAATGCTTCTTTACACTAAAGACTTATTGTTCTGTCATCCATGGTCGTGGGAGTTCAAGTCAGACATGGGAAACCTTAATCTAACGCCATCAAGTCATGGATTTTTTGAGTTTTAAGGAGACCTTAAAGATTCCAAGTGTTAAAGATAGGTTTAGTGCCAGATAGTACAGGTTTGATGTTGGAGAAAAATGGAACTTTTGTAGGTCATCCATCAGTTAACAAAAGGTTAGCCTTAACATAGAAAGGCTACTTAACAAAGAGACTCCAGAATATCTTGGGTAGACAACTCCCCCTTCTTGTCTCTATGTGGAAATTCATTTGGTCAGCCATATGACTCATGGCCTTGGGACATCTGCCAAATCTGAAGGGGCCTGACTTTACCTGGGTGGGCCTTTTTATGCCTTTAGGTGACCAACAAGTCAAGTCAGTATAAAAGAGAATAATCAGGAATCTTCATCAAGCTGAGCCCCCCTTGAAGGAGAATGGCCTAACCCATGTCGAGAGGATAAGAGAGCAAGCCTTGGTAGATGGTGTGCCTATCACCCTAGGTCTTCTGCCTCCTAGTATAGATTAACATCTCTTTTCTCTTGTCAAATTTTAACTTGATGGATTGCTGCATCCTATTTTCAGATGGGTTTTACTTTGGACCTTCTGATTTGGAACATCTGGCTCCTGACAGGTCTTGTCGGATTTGGTGATTGCTTATTGTCCCCCCCTAGTGTTTGCTTTGGCCTTTAATCCTCTCTTCCATCTAGATCTTTGCCCTTCCACAGATATACTTATCTGAGCAAATATATGTGTTTGCCCAGTTTACTCTAGGAGAGAATACACAAAGAACTGGGGGGCTGTAACTGTGATTTCTTTGGGAGTCCAGCTGGTTTTAGAATGAAATGCATGCCTATCTTTCTTCAAAAGCCTCTGGTTGTCCCTTGACTATGTCAGACATATTCTGGTATATTTTTTAAAAAATACATGTATAAGCTTAGGAGTCAGTTGTGACTATGCCATGGTCTCTTAAAGCAAGTATCTAACAATGTTTTATTTTCCCCAAGAGTATACTTTGACGTCAGAGGTTTTTTGTTTTTGTTTTTATATTTGGGGGGGGGGTTGTTTGTTTTTAGGAGTCCTAAAAAGCGGGCTTAAATTTAAAAACAAAACGAAACAAGGAGACTAAAATTCTTGCAGGATATATTAGCTAAAAAAAGCCTAAATCTGTCAGTTTCACTTCTAAATAAATGGAATTTTCTTCTTACCCACAAACTTTTCAGAAGAGGTGGCCATACATATGAAACATACAAATGGAGCCATACATAAACACACCATTCTTTTTGCTTATTTATTTTAAAATTTGCATCGATATCTTTTTTTCAGTCTCTTTCATTTCCAAACTTACTCCACCCTTCTCCCTTCTGCATGTAACAAACAATAAAAAAAAGAGCCAAAGAGAAGCTGTTCCACAAAAGTAACCAACAGATCAGCTGAGTCTAGCCAGTGTATGCTATGCCATATCGCTGTAGCCCCCCAATTCTGTAAAGGAAGTGAATTTACTCCCCTTTTTCATGATGAAATTTAGTCGCAACATCCATTTTTTTTTTGTTCTTTCCAATAAATAAATCTTATAAGCAGTAAATTAGCCTGCTATGACTACTCCCACCCATATGCACAAAAAGTGAAATCCTTTTCACTGGAGATAGTAGCAGATGGGAATGTTTGAGTGCGTGTTTTGCTTTTCTGTCTATTACCTCTGATGTTGCTTGAAATGATTGCAAGGTACCAGCTAAATTCTTTTCGCCTCCCAACTCTTTGTAGATCAAGAAGTTCAACGTCTAAAAATAGGAATGGAATCCCTACTTGTTGCAAATGAAGAAAAGGTAAGAGTGGAACAGCCCTTTGTAGAGAGGGGTGCACTAGTCCCTGGACAATGTGGGGAGCGTCTTCTCTTTGCTTGTGTAGGTATCTTATTGGTCTAGGGACTCTAGGTCAATCCAATGGGAAGGCTACCTAGACGGGAGCACATGCTTGGCTCATAGTTGTCACTTAACAAATGCTTGCTTGTTTGATTGAATCATTGGGAATCGTGTCTTACCGCTATACCTTATTAAAAGAAATAATGTAAGTAAAGTATTTTGCAAACCTTAAAGCACTATGTAAATGATGTTGTTTATCATCATATTTTTAGGAAAGTGTCAGAAGAGTATTTATCAAGGGAAGGTTGATTCAATTTCTCCCAATTACAGATTATCTAATAAGCATACAGGATGCTCATCAACACCCAGAGAAGCAGCCTAGCATAGGGGATAGAGCACTGAGCCTTAAGTCAGGAGGACCAGGTTTCAAATGTTACCTCAGATGATTACTAGCAGTGTGACTCTAGGCAAATCTCTTGTCTCTCTCTCTCTGAAGCTGTTCGTCTAGGTAACAAGGTGATGCAATGGATAAAGCACTTGACCTGGAATCAGGAAAACCTATACATATTAGCTGTGTGACTTAGCAGTCACATAACTACTCAGAGCCTCAGTTTCCATATCTGTAAAATGCGGGTAATTATAGTACCTCCCTTTCCAGTATGGTGTGAGGATCAAATGAGAGGTTGTTTGCAAAGTGCTTTGCAGATCTTAAAGTACCATGTAAATGCTTATTATTATTATTATTATTATTATTATTATTATTATTATCTATAAAATGGGAGTAATAAGAGTACTTACTCCAGAGGGTTGCTATGATCAAATAAGACAATTTACATAAAACACTTGGTAAGCCTTAAATCACTGTATAAAAATGAGCTAGTAAGCACTTACTTTGTGCCAGTCACTGTGCTAAGTGCTTTACAACTATCTCATTTGATCCTCACAACAACCTTGGGAAGTAGGTGCTATTATTATCCCCATTTTTCAGTTGAGGAAACTGAGGCAGAAGTTAAGTGACTTGTCCAGGGTCATATAGCTAGTAAGTGCCTAAGGTCCCATTTGAACTCGGGTCTTCTTGACTCCAGGCCCAGTGCTCCATCCATTGTGCCAACTAGTTGCTTCAAAGGAATGTAGACAGCGATGCCTCGCGCATGAAGTACTTGTGGTACTTCTAAATTTTTATTATTTAAAGGCATTTTCACAAAATCTTCAGTGATGTCTTTTGTTTTTTATATCACTGTCTTTTCTAAATATATCCCTGTCCAGCCCTTCCTTCTCCCCAGGAACCATCATTTATAACAGAATAAGATGAAAAGGAGAGGGGAAAAAAGCATCCTAGCAAAACTAACCAACACTGGTTGAGTCTGACATTGAATGCAGCATTCTGCATCTGTAGCCTTTACTCCTGCCGAGAAAGGAAGAAGGTGAATTTTTCCCCTCTTCTTCGGAGCCAAGTGATCATTAGAATTTTCTAGGTAACTTTTTAAGCTTAAAATATAAATGAAAATGTTAATTTAAAAAAGGCGTAAGTAAAATGATCGTCCAATTTTCTGGGTTTTTGTTTTTTTTTATGATACCATAATAGTTTTTTTTTTCTTTTAAGCACTACAAATTATGAGAACCCCACTCCACTCCCAGTAAAGCCTTGATGTTTATGAACCTTCTGTGGGTACAGATTGGCTCCTGATCTTACCTTCATGTTACAGCCTCTCAAACTTGGGTGTTTCATGAAAGGAAATTTCCCAGCAATGACCCAAAGGCCCTGGCAGCCAACCAAAGCAGAAAATGCTGCACCTGAGATTCCAAGGGAGGAACTGACCCTATGGTCAGTATCAGTGCTAAAAGAAGGCTCAAAATCTTAAGGAAAGACCCCAAACTCTGCTTCCTTGACATCCTAGAGCTTGCTTGAGGGATTTTATCATTACAGAGACATCAAATTTTATAGGATAGCTTCATATGCCTGTTTTTCCTTGTCCCCAGAATGCCCAGGTTCTAACCTTCTTTGTAAGTTACTCTCATATTGAGCAAAAAGTGCTGGCTGCTAATGACCTACAGATATCACATCTCCTTCCTGCCTTATATTCCCAGGATTACACTAAACATTTGTGCAATTAAAGAGACCTGCTTTATTATAATTAAATTGTTCATTAAATGTCATATGTCACAGAATAAAACTCAGGTTTAATTATATCTAAAGGTATTGCACTAGCTTTTTTGAAAGCTGACAGTGCTATTAGATGGTTTCACACCTGATTAAACACTGTTCCCAAAGAGACTCTTTGTCAAGCTTGAGGGTGGAGTCTAGCACAATTCCACAGGGCCCTGCCCTGTTCCACATTTTTACCAGTAACTTCAATAAAGACATTAAAAATGCTCATTCAATTAATAGCAGGCACAAAGCTGGGAGCAGTGGATGACATAATCTAAGGTTTAAATTATCTTGATTGACCAGAACCACTTACAAGTTTGGGGGAAAAACAGATAAATGTAAAGCCTTGCTCTTAGGTTCAAAAAATCAATTACAGAAATATAAGGTGGGGGAAAACTCATTTTGGAATCATTCATGTCAAAAAGATCTGGAAGATCAATGAGCCATAAATTTAACAAATGACAACAAAAATGTATTAAGTAAATACTATGCATGAAGCACTTTATGAGGCACTGAGCATACAAAGGAAAAACAATGCCTTTCCTGCCCTCAGAGCTGACATTCTCCTTGGGGGTGAGGACAATGAGAATAAATTACAACACAAACACAAATAAGTGTGCTACAAAGTATGTTGAGGTAGAGAGCAAGTACTGACTCCTGAGGAGGAAATAGAACTATACTCCCAAAAGAGCATGTCCCCATATGAATCTGTGATTTCCTTGATTTGAACATTCCCTCAGTATTGCAACTTGTAAGGCTTCAGGGCCTGACTATCCTACATGACTCTTGTCCAAGTCTTCCCATGAGCTCCTAACAGTGAAGCCAAGGGCCTTTCTCCTGACAGCCAAGCATACCAGTGGATTGACCTGTCTTTCAAAAGTCCATCTTCCTATTATATATTTCCCTGGTAACATCTTTTATCCCTGTTGTGCTTCCAGATTCCTCATTGGTTATGTGTTACAGCCTGCTTACACCTACCACGTACCTCTCCATTGACCTCTGTGTGATTTGCTTTTTCATTTCTTTGGAGACTGTCTCATAGTCATACGGCAGCACGAGTAAAATATTGGTATGGGGGGAAAAGCCTGACCTCTGTTTCTGAGAGATGCTTGGAGATCATTTGAGGAAGCAATATTACCAGAAGATCTGAAGTGATTAGACCACACTTCAAGCATTGTCTTAATTTTAAGAGTAATATTAGTAAATAGAAGCGGGGTGGTCCAGGTGACTGAGGACAGTGAAGCTTCTATAAACTACACCATATGGGGAGTGTTTAAAGGGGTTAAGACTAAGGGGAAATATAAGAGCTTGATTTGGAAGAGGAGAAGGAGATTAGATTTGCATAGTTTCAGAGGCCAGAACCATAACCCAGGTGATGTTACAAGTTACAGGGAGATCAATTTCACATTGCATACAAGGGTGATATTCCTAGCAATTAATAATGACAATGATAGTTAACATTTATTTAGCACTTACTGGGTGCTAAAGCAGTTTATAGTTATTATCCCATTAGCAGCATCCAACCATGTAATGAGCTGTCTTTTGAAATAATACCCTAATACTAGAGGTATACAAGCAGAGACTAGGTGACCACCTATTATCAGTACTTAAGGTGGAGGTTGGACTTGGTGAGTTCTTAGGTCTCTTCTATCTCTTAAAGGTTTCAAAGCAGCCCAGCAAAAATGAAAGAAGTGCAAGATTTGGAGTCAGAGGACATGAGTTCCAAGTCCCAAATGTGCCATTTAAAACCTATGTAAACTTGGGCAAAATATTTCCCCTCTCTGGCCTTGTTTCCTCCTCTATAGAATGGAGAGGTTGGGTTAGATGGTCTCTGAGGCCCCTTCTCCTCTAAATCTCGTGATGTGGTTTGCAAGTCCAATCAACGAGGGCAGGAACTCTTGGAAAATGGAATAATTTCTTCTTTTTCCTTTGTAGTACTCTCCACACCTATTATGGTCCAATGCACAGCTACATATATTTACGTCCTTCCATGCACTCCTTGTCTGGGTCCTAGAGGCAGGCAGAGGTTTTCCAAAACCCCCCAAGACACAAGAGGGTATTTAAAAGCATTTGTTCTACCCTTAAGGTTTGGGGGTTTTGTTTAATATTTTCTTTTGTTCTTTACCTCACCATTTCTTTTCCCCTATTATTGAACTGTTGCCAGTTACAAAGAAAAGCAATTATATTACACTGCTCACCCTGGTCCTTGTCCTCTCCCCAGCCAAAGGAAGTATGTTTTTTTTCATCAGTTCACAGACCAAGTTTGGTCATTCATTGCATTTAATCTGATCTTAGCTACTTCTCGGTGTTGTTTTCATTGATATTATCATAGTCATTGTGAATATTCTTATATTGTTTTTGCTTTCTTTGTTCTGCATCTGTTCATACAAGTTTTCCTATGTTCCTATGGTGCAATGATATTCCATTACCAATTTGTTTAGCCATTCCTCTATTATTGGGCCACTCACATGTTTCCAAATTTAGGCTACTAAAAGCGTCTCTTTGATGAATATTTTGGCATGTATGAATCATAGCATCACAGCATTCGAGCTGAAAGGGACCTAAGAAATTGTCTAGTCCAGCAGTGTCTAGCTTAACTAGAAAGGGGGATACTAGCATAGAAAGCTCTTTGCAGGCCACACATTGACTTAGAAAACCATTATCTGTGTTCCATTGTGTTTTTTTAGTTTTGTTAAATATTTCCCTGGTTCTCTAATATTAATCTGGTTCATTTTGACACCTCTGATCTAGTCCAATCCCCTCATTTTACAGAGAGGAAACTGAGGCCAGAGGAGTTAATTGATTTGCCTGAGGTCACACAGGTAGGAAATAGCAGAGCCAGGGTGTGGAGGCAGGTTCTCTTGACTCAAAGCTAGCCCTTTTTCTGCTATACTACACAGTGGGAATCTAATCTCTCTGCCTTTGACCTCCTTCCAGCTGGTACCTGTGGATCTTCTGGTTCTGACTCAGTTTCCTTTTTGTTTCAGGAACGCAGGATAGAGGAGCTTACATTGTTACTGAGCCAGTACCGAAGGGTAAAGGAGATCATGCTGGGAGGCCATGGTAAGAGAACAGGCAAATTCATTGTTTCTCTCAAAAGGCTTTCTTTGCCTTTCAGGATACCCTTTCCCCCAGGGTCATGTACTCACTGTGTCGAGAGCGTGGGGTATTAAACCTCAGAGTCACTTCCAACAGAAATCCATCAGTCTTCTGGGTAAAACATCCTTTCAGTGACTATGAAAATATAGTTGATCAGAGGGCTAGTGCTTCATAGGATTACAAATTCAGAGCTAGAAGGAACCCCCTCATTTATAGAAGTTGGAGAACTAGGCCACAGAAAATTTAAGTCACTTGCCCCGGGTTACCCAGATAGTCAATGTCAAAGGTAGGATTTGAACCCAGGTCTTCTAAACTCCCAAGCACCAGTGCCCTAAACACCACACCACTCTGCCTCCCATGCTGGGAGCTAGGGAGCTAGCCTTGTCTAGTTGTCCTTTCAAAGGCTGCTGTGTGTGAGAAGGGAGAGCTCCCCAAGCTTTTGCTAGCCAAAGAATGTCTTGTGGGAGCAAACAGGTCACAAAGGAGGGTTTTCCCCCACACATCACAATTACAGCGTACCTTCCGTGGAGCGCAGTCCACACCTGGAGTTCCTGTGAAGGCAAAACGGGCCTAGGAGAATTATTGAGATCCCTTTCCTCTGTGTCAGGCACTTGAACTGGTCTGGGAGTAGTTTTCCAATTGTTTTTAGTCGTTAAGCAGCCTAGCTGGGGAAACATGGTAGCTGATATCTTTGGGCTAAAGGACTATAGAGGGAGTTTGAGAAACCCCACCCTCTGAGTGAGTCAAAAAATAGCTTAGGATCATAAGTTTACAGCTGGAAAGGACCTCAGGGGTCAATTAGTCCAGTGTGGTCAAACTAAAGTAAACACAGATCTGTCTGTGGTTGGACCCCTGATTTAGTCCAGCCTCTTCATTTTACAGGCCCTGGGAGGAAAATTGCCTAAGGTCACACATGTGGTTATCATTCATAGGTAGCATTGGAACTCAGGCCTTTTGATTTAACGTAGTGCTCTTTTTACTGTACCATGTTATGTCTTTTTGCCCTTTAGCAATTGGAAACACCAAGGAATAGCCCCAAATGAATACAAACTAAAATTTCATTTTATGGGAGTTAGAGAATATCAGAGCTAGAAGGACTAAGGATACCTTTCAGCCCAATCCACCATCTTTTCTGTCAGTCAAGAATTGAGCTATTAATTAAGAATTGACTAACCTTATAGCAGGCATTCGATCAGTCTGAATCAAAGCTGGAGAATGGGGCTTAGGCGTCTCATGGCTAATTTGGAAGGTGCTCCACAACTTTTGAGGACCCATAGTGCCTCTTAAACTGCATTCACAGAAGCCTGTATTCTCACTTGCAAGACCATGGACAATGAGAGTTGTTTTTGTAATTATCCTCACATATGCTGCCCACACACTGATGCAACAGCTCTTTTATTTTTGGTTCCCATGGGCAAAGCCTATTACAATGTCAGGAAAAGCTCATGGTGGTTTGCACCCATTATGTTCTTAAGGATCCTGATGAAATGCCAAGGTTTACGAGCTTTTTCCCAGGATGAGACAAGCAGGAGAGGGATCATGCAATCCCAGAGCCCTTGGTTCTCAGATCCTTTGGCAGCAGTTCTGTGGATTGCCCCAGGATGAGGGCAGAGGAGAGTTAACCTGGACATTGACTTGATTTCCTCATCCACCCACCAGACCCATTGCCCAATCATGATGCCTCCAGAGTCTGTCTTTGGCCCTTCAGAGAAGGTGTTCTGTCTGAGTGCCACTAGGGCCTGACTTCCTGCAGTCATAGGTGAACCACATTGTGGACAGCAAGGATGAGGGTTCTGTGGCATGAGGTGATCTAGGTAAAAGCCAGGATGGGGCCCTATCCTGTAAACTTTCACTTCAGAAGAAAACGTACAAAGCTCTTAGAGTGGAAGAGAGAACTGCTCTTCAGATAACCTGGGGAAATCACTGTAGCAATAGAAAATTTAAAATCATTATGTATTTAAGTGTCTGCTATATGCCAGACTCTGTTGGGGCTACAAATACAAAAATGAAATAAAATCCCTCCCCTCAAGGAGCTTACTGTCTACTGAGGCATGGGGCTAAGGAGGGGGGGAAAGAACAAGTGAACAATAAATAGAAAACACATACAAAGTAAGTGATAATTTCAGGGGTAGGTTGTTGGAAGATTGTGTTGTTGAGTCACTTTCAGTGACAAGAATACCTTGGGGCAGCAAGGTGGCACAGTGGAGTCAGGAGGACCTGAGTTCAAATCCATCCTTAGACACTTAACACTTACTAGCTGTGTGACCCTGGGCAAGTCACTTAACCCCGATTGCCTAAGGGGAAAAAAAAAAGAATACCTTGTACTAGGAAATCATATGTAGGTCAATTTGTCCAGAATGGAGAGCCCATGAGAAGACTTTGGGGTTTTCTTGGCAAAGATCCCAGGGTGGTTTGCTATTTCCTTCTTCAGCTCATTTTACAGATGAGGAAACCGAGGCAAACAGGATTAAGTGACTTGCCCAGGGTCCCACAACCGGTAAGTGTCTGAGGCTGGATTTGAACTCATGAAGATGAGTCATCCTGACTCCAGGCCCGGCCCTGTATCTACTGTACCACCTATCTGCTCTTTAGGGAAGAAAGCCCCATTAACTGGGGAGATGAAGAAAGGCCTTTAGCAGAGTCCTTAGCAACATGTCTTGCACCCAGGAAGCCCTTAGTAAGTAAATGTTTCATTCATTTACTTTAGCCAAGTCTTGAATGGAACAGGGGATTATAAGCAGAGGTGGGGAAGTAGGGCATTTCAGACATGGGGTCAACAAACTGGTGCAGTGGAAATCCTGAGTTCAAATCCGGCCTCAGACACTTGCTAGCTGTCCTTGGACAAATCACTTAACCTCAGTTTCCATAACTGAGAATGTTGAGGAGAATGAGGATAATACCAGGATAGATTTACCAGGATTGTGGTGCAGATCAGATGAGATAATATTTGTAAAGGTCTTAGCACAGTACCTGGCACATAGTACAAATGGCACTGTTATTAGGGAAGCTGGGGATGGAGTGTCTTGTATTAGGAAATCACATGTAGGTCAATTGGTCTGGAATGGAGAGCCCATGAAGAAATAGAATGTGAAATTGGTTTGGAACAAAGGGTATATGTTAGGCACTGTGCTACACCAGGACTACAAAGAAAAAGAAAAAAACAGACCCTGCCCTCAAGGAGCTTCCATTCTAACAGAGTAGACAGTGGGTCCATAAATCTGTGGGAACAAGTAAATAAATGGAAGATAACAGAGGGGAAGGCCATTAGCAGCCAGCTCCCACTCTCTTTTCATTTATTCTAAAGAAGAAGAAGCTGTTTCTCTTGTCTCTACAACGAAGTAACCCTAGATAAAGGTATTTTCCCTTTCTGTTGGTCCCCCTCAGGCTCTTCAGAGAGAATCCTTTCCAGTGGGGAAGAAGAAATGGAGGGATCTTTCCGGAAGTGGAATGTGGTGAATAAATCCCCAGGAGAAACAATGAAACTAGAGGTCTTGGACTTTATTGTCTGATATTTAAACCCAAAGCAGCCCTGAGGGCCTGACCTGATCTCTAAAGCTGGGAGAGGGGGAGGGAATTGGTTAAGCCTTTGGAAGGCTACCCAGCTCACCCAACCAATAGGTAACAAGCTAAGTAAATGAACCAGTGTGATGTCTGGAAACTTAAACAACTCATTTACTTTAAATAGATCCTCCTGGGTTGCTTGGGTTATATAGATTTATGGTCTGAGTATATAGATCTATTCAGATAGAGGGCCAGCCATGATTTCTAAAGTCATATGACTCCCAACTCATAAACAGACTTTACCAAGTTGAGCAGCACCAAACCAGGGCCTGAATAAAAATCACAGAACATAGACAGTTAGAGTAGGGGAGAGAAGAACCCGGAGGTTTTCTAGCCCAATCCTGCTATTTAAAATTTTTTTAATTTAATATTTTTTAATGAACAAAAATCTATTTTTTCTCTCTCTTCTCCCTCCCTATTCCCCACAGAATGCATAATCCTATTAACAATGCATCACAAATTTCCACCTTAGCCGTGTCCTCCAAAAATAGACGTATTGTAATAAGTCATATTGCTGGTGAGAAATCTTAAGTTTTTCCCAGTTGTTTGTCTTTCAATCCTGTCATTTTACAAGTGAGGAAACCGAGGCCCTTCTCAGAGAGGTTAAAGTGACTACAAAGCCAGAAAGCTAGAGCCCATGTGTCCTAACTTCTAATCTAATCTTCTTTCTTTACATTGGGTCTGAAAGAAACTGGATTGTAGAGAACTGAGGTTTATTCAGTGTGTCTCAGTGCCAGGGTGTGTCTGATAGGATGCTGAGACTCTTTTGTTTCCCCTGCAGCTATCTCCAAGATGTACCTCCCCTACCTTGGGGGCTCCTCCCCTGCCTCATAAAAGCCTGGAAACAAGGTGAGAAGCTGGGAGTCCTGTGACCTTCCCCTCTGGATTGCTCTTAAGACTTTAGGGTCTTTCCACTTATATCCCAACCTCTGAAAACAAGCTACCCACTAGGGACCTTGGCAGGTGTGTGGGTCCTGAGCCAAGTGAGCTTTTGACCTGATTGGGTGTGGTGTTTCCTTTGACAGTGGAAGCATCCTGGATACCAGCAATGGCCAGATTTCCCACTGTGAGGAGGATTCTCTGGAGTCACAGAGCAGGTACCAGTCACACTTCTCTGCTGCCTTCCCATCAGGTTCAGGGCTACATCATATTCACTGGAGATGGCTCCAGAAAGGAAAAGAGCAGCTCAAAGGTTATGGGTTCCATTCAGTTCAGCCAATACTGCCAGGTCCTGGAATTTGGCCTTTGCAAATCTGCATCCTTCAAGAGAAGGCTCCAGATTGTTATAGGACATTAGGGTCATTTAAAAAATGAGCTTTGGTTAGGATGATTGGTAGGGATACACATAATCATTCCTCAAACTCTCCCAGGAACTAACTAACACTCTCTCTCTCTCTCTCTCTCTCTCTCTCTCTCTCTCTCTCTCTCTCTCTCTCTCTCTCTCTCTCTCTCTCTCTCTCTCTCTCTCTCTCTCTCTGTCACACACACACACACACACACACACACACACATCTGCTGGGGGTCAGGGGCGGGGCAGCCTCCCTCAGTAACTCAGCATGTCAGCAGATGCAGAGATGTCCTGGCTTTGGGCCACAGCGTTAAGGGGAGGAGGAGGGCAGAAGCTACCAAAGCAGGTGACCTCAAAGGGCAGCATGTGGTTTCCAGATGGGCCTCTGGTTACTGCAGTCCCTTCCTTCAGCTTTGCATGTTATTTCCTGGAATGAGCTTGGTCTGAATGGATAAATCCTCTGAACTCTGAGCCAAAAAGAAAATAAATTGGTTTAAGTTTAAAACCTCTGTGCTGTCCAGCTTAGCCCGATCCATCTGCCCCCATGGTATCATTCAAGCACTTGTGTTCTGTTCCCTAGTAATTATTTGCTTTTTTTCTTTTTTGCTCTTTAAGGACTCAGGAAAAACTGTCCAGTAGCCTGGAAGACCTGCAGAGTGGCTCTGTGGAAAAGGTTTGCCTGCCATTCAATCAGTCGGCCTTTATTGGTTGTCTCTGCTCTGGGGGGCCACGTGTATGGGTTGCAAGAGGAGAGAGACAATGGAGAGAGTAAAAGCTAGCATTCACCTGGGGCTTTAAGTTGTACAAAGCACTTTACATCAGTTAACTCCCAACAGCCCTGGAAGGGAGGTGGTATTATTGTCTTTGTTCTATAAAGGAGGAAACTATGTCTCAGAGAGATTTAGTAACTTACCCTGGGTCTCACAACTAGTAAGTGTCTGAAGCAGAATTCCAGCTGAAGTCTTCTGGAATCCAAGCCCCACGCTTTAGAAATAACGCAGGAGGGGCAGCCAGGTGGCACAGTGGATAGAGTGCTGGCCCTGGAGTCAGGAGGACCTGAGTTCAAATCTGGCCTCAGACCAGACACTTGACACTTACTCGCTGTGTGACCCTGAGCAAGTCACTTAACCCCAATTGCCTAAAAAAAAAGAAAAGAAAAAAGAAATGACTCAAGGATCAAGTGAAGTAATGTATGAAAAGCACTTTATAAGCTTTAAAAGTCAATGGTTTTTGTTTGTACTAGTAGTACAGAACAGCATACAAGCAGGTGCCAAGTGTGGATTGTTTAAGAAGACTGAAGGAAAAGATAACTTTGTGGGCCTGAATCATTAGGAAGGACTTCCTGGAGAAGGCAGCCAGGGGATAACATCATGAGAAGGGGCTTGGAATTAGGAATCATCATTTGAGGGGACTGTTTAGGGCTACAACAAGGATTTTCAGGCTGGCTGAAGCTAAGGGTTGGTGTTGAAGAGTAAATGCAGAAAGGCTAGTTGGGGAAAGTGGAACTAGATTGGGAAGGGCCTTGTATTCTAGGCTGAAGAGTTTGCCATTTATCCTATGTCCACTAGGGCACCATTGAAGATTTTGACCAGGGAAAGTGACATAATTCCTATGTTTGAATGGTGTTTAAGAAAGACTAGTCTAGCAGCAGTGTTCAGAGTAAGAGAAGGGAGCCAGGGAAGCCAGCTAAGAGGCTCTGATAAGCTCCACGTGTAAAGTTATCCTAATCATTCCTAGAGTGTGCTAACTGATTAGAATCAAAATTCTTTGTACTTTGCTGGGTGTTAGAAGCACTCAACCTAGCTAGCCCTTCCATCGAAGAGATACTAAAGACCTAGTCAGTATTCTTAATCCCTCATCCCTGAAGTGTAAGGAAGAGCGATACATGTCCATCTAGATGACCTCCTCTGCTGTGGAATATCAGCCTTTTCACTTGAGTTTTCGCAGGTTTAAAATTAAATTTTTCACCCTGCCCTAGGCAGGTAGCCATAGACTCAGAATCACTGCTTTGAAATATACCTTAGAAGTCCTTTTGTCCAAACTGTGTCCTTAAATGACTATTTATAACAGGCATGTTTGTTGTTTGGTATCAATGCACCTGCCATAAACTCTTGTGACTAACACAAGACAGGGGGAGAGAGAGAAAGAATGGCTTAAACCATGGGGATCTGTTGGCACCTTCCATGAGTGATTATGGTCTTCCTGTCCTGGCCCAAATGAGAGCTCATTGATCATTTTCACTTGGCCACGGAGTGGTCCCCTTTTGTGAAGTTACCAGAAAGACTGATGCTTGTTATCTTGGAGGTGGGGAAGATCATCGTTTTTCTCAGTATAAATGGGAGGACGACCAGGTCAGGACAATGAGTGAGAGCTCTGTGTACGTTTTATACTAACGTTTGTCTTGTTGCTCTTTTTTTCTACCAAACTGCAACCCGTCTCCCTACAACTCCGTAGTATGTAGACGGGAAGCCACTTGTGCCTGTTGTCGGAGCTGAGGTAGAGTCACTGCGTTCTTCCCTTGTCATTTGCTTTAACAGGATGTGGTATTTGCTATATGTAGGGTCTGCTCCCCAGCACAAGGACCATGCGCTTTGGGGTGGGGTGTTGGATGGAGGCAAGAAGAAAAAGGAACTGGTGACCAAGCGATCTAAGCCCCAGTCCCTCATGCGGTTGATTTATCACCTGAATACATACTCAGGCAGCCGCAAGCCGTTCAGAGTTGATGGATGAGAGGGGTAATGAAAGTCACATAAGCACAGACATCCCCCTGGTGGTTGAACAGTTTGTGTTACAAGGAATCATCATGGAATCATAGATTCAGAGCTGGAAAGTGTCTTGGACTACAGGTCATTAGTCTTAACACACTCCTTTTACAGAGGAGGAAACTAAGGCAAGTGATTTCCGTAGGTCACACATGGAGTAATGGGCAAAAGCTGAGGTTTGAACTTAAGTAGTCCCCTTGCTCCAACTCAAAATTACTCAGGATGCTTTTCCCTGTAGAAGCATTCTACCTACGTCTGGTGGGTCCCTAGGCCAGCCTACAAAAGACTTTTTAAGTAGCTCTTGATTTACAACATGGGACCTTCAGTTTAGAGTTGGAAAGGACCTTTGAGGTCATCTAATCCAGCCCTCTTCATTTCTTATTAAGTGAGGAGACACCAGGACAGTGAGGTTTGGTCATTTGTCCTGGGTCTTAGAAGTACATGGAGCTGGGATTCACACTCAGCTTGTCTGGCTCCAGAGCCAGTTGTCTTTCCTTTGCGCCACATTGCCTCAAGTTTACCACCAGCACTAGCCTTTCAGCTCTGCCTCACTGCCAAGTTCTCTCACAATCTCTGTAGGGAAATGCATTTGGAGCTCCTATTCAGGAAGCCTTTATAGGGATCTCCTGTTCCCTTCTCCTTCCCTTCCCCTCCCCAGAGGTAGCTGCCTATCATGAGGAATTCAGATCAGGAGGTAGGGGCAAAGGAGATATTCCAGGTCCTGATATATTCATGCCTTTCATCGGCATAAGGAAAGACCCCTCTGTGCATCTAGAGGTGCCCCTTCTTAATCTCCTCCTCTTGGTTAGAGTAATGCTGCCTTTTCTCTCTAATCTGCTCTAGAAAAATGCTTTCCCCATCCCACCCTCAGCTTCCACCACAGGAATCCCCAGGAGCCCAGGGGAGGAGGGAGACAGGCAGCCTCTTCTCTGAAGGGACTTCTGCGTCTCCATAACAATAGATTCCTCCTCTCTACCTATGCTTTGATGGCAGGAGGTGCCTCTTTACTTCTCTGCTTGGCTAAGTAAGAAAAAGCCCCTCTCTTACCTTTTTTGTCATTCTGGTCTTTTTAGTCATGTCTGACTCTTTGTGACCCCTTATGGGGTTTTCTTGGCAAAAGATTGGAGTGATTTGCCTTTTCCTTCTCCAGGTCATTTTACAGATGAGGAAACTGAGGCAAACAGGGTTAAGTGACTTGCCCAGTGACTTTCTCACAGCTAGTAAGTGTCTGAGGCCAGATTTTAACTGGAAAAGTTCTTCCTGACTCTATCCACTAAGCCACTTAGGTCTTACCTTTACAACTCTGTAAAAGAAAACCTCTCTAGGCCTCTGCATCTGCACAAGAGGTCCCCTTCAGTGCCTGTAATTCCATATAAGAAAAGATTCCTTTATATCTGTACAAAAAAGAGAGAGAGAAGGCCTCTCAGATATATTGCATCTCCATAAAAGGACTCTCCAACCTCCTTTCTTCTCCTCTTTCCAGCACATGCTTATGTCTCTATAATAACATAATAGTAGCCAGCATGCATATAGCACTTTAAAGTTGCAAAGTGATAGTATAGATAGACAGACATCTCATTTGAACCTTAAATCAACTGTACATAGTAGGTGCTGTTACCATCCCCATTTTATAGATGAGAAACCTGAGTCTTAGTTTAGGTGACTTGCACAGGGTCACACAGCCAGTAAATAAGTGTCTGAAATGGGATATGTACACAGTCTCCCTAACTTTTGAGTCCAGGTCCCTATCCACTAGGCTACCTAGCTGCATAATACAGTTCCTAATCTTTTTTTTTAATGGCCTCTTTTGGCAATCTGTTGATGCCTATGAACCCGCTTCTCAGAATAATTTTTAAATAATTAAAAGAAATATAAAATCCAAATAAAGATATAGATATATACATATGTATTTTTTCCATCTGAGTTCATAGATCCCCTGAAATCTGTCAAGGCCATAAGGGCTCTGGAGCCAGAGCAGCTCTACTTGGAGTTAGAAAGACCTGAGTTTAAATCATGCCTCAGACACTCACTCAGAAATTTCACTTGGTCCTCTATTACTAAGAGCCCATGCCGGCTCCTGCTGATGATAGCTTTTTTTTTTCCTAAGGCATCACAAACTATCTGTTTAATATTCCCTTCTAGAATTTTGGTGGGAGTCAATATCAGGTTTACTGGGCAGTCATTTCTATAATCTTTCTCTTCCCTTTCCCATGATTTTCCTTTCTTCAAAATTATTAAGAGTCTTATAGTCATATCTGCAAATCCTTTAAGTAAAAATTCTGAGTTATAGTTTTTCTCAGTCAATTCAAATTCATTTAAAGTGGCTAGGTACTCATTTTTTCAGGTCTTATTCTTTAGTTCCTCCTTTGTTTTCTAGCCTTTCCAGTTAGACCATTGTTCTTAATGGAGAAAACAGGAGCAAAATCAGAACAAAGAGTAACTTTCTTTCTGTCATCTGTTAACATTATACCATCTGTTCCCAAACAACAGGCCTATCGGTACTTCATTGTCCTTCTTGTATTCTCACTAGGTTATTTGCTGCCTTCCTCCAGCTTTTCAGTCTGTTTTCATCAGAGAGCTCCTTATGTAGCTCCATCAGTTGTGGGAGTTTGTTTAAGCAATTCCTCATTTTCTTCTTCATAATGATCATCTTCAGTTATGTTGTCAGAATTTCATTCTTGAAAGCCTCCCGTTCTTCATGAAGAGAAACTGTGCCTCTTTTCTCTAAGAGATTTGAAACTTTATTTCCTAAATATAAAATTCGTGTTTGACATAGCCAGCATTTTCCCCAGCTCCGGATGACAGGTCAGTTTATCCGGTACTTCTGTTCCTGTTTTACCATCTAGTTCTTCCTTTTGAGCTCGAACTAAGCCCATACTAACAGTGATTCTTCATTATTGCCTGTACCTTCTGGGAAATGAATTTATCAACAAGACAAGTCAAGAATTGGTCCGATCACCTACTTTCAGCCCCCAACAGATATCTTATCATTACAGGATCTTGTCTCTGTGCCAGCTTTGTAGGCAGTTTTTAGGAATGTATCATCTCTATCCTCCCTCTGGCTGCTGAGGCTATACTGTGCTCCCACAATGAAGAGATGACCTGTGGCACTATCCAGCTCTGAGCAAAGGCAGTTAGAGTGGCTAGAAAGAATGTGTTTGATAAGAACATAAATGTACCCTGGGTGCACCTAACTGGAGACGTTTACCAAAGACCACAGCCCTGTTAGGATAACATAAACCACATTTCTCTTATTTTCCGTAGGACACCCTTTTCCTAGGGGAGAACAAATACCAAACACTACCAGGGAAACTTCCTGGAGCTACACACAATGGAGAGCCTGGAACATCCATCCCCTCCACTTCTCAGACCTCAGGGAGCAGCCTGCCAAGCCTGAGTAAGTCCCTCTTGTTTAACCTCTGACCTAAGAGCCCCGGTGCCCAGGGCCTGAATAGGCAGACCTCCACATAGATGTCCTCAAAGGCATGCCTGACCATTTTGCTATAGAGCCACATTCTGCCCAGTTCTTGGCTTTCTCTAACAAATCCACACCCGGCCATAGCACGAGCTTGGGAAGGAGCCACAGAGAAAGGTCATGTGGCGAGAAGCTTAATCTACATTTATACTTAAGAGGGTCATAACTGAGGTCAAAGTTAAGTGGGTGTGGTTTAGTGTAACCACAGTGAGGAACAAAGCTGATCGATATTCTTTTCTGGGTGCCAGACAGCTGGGTCTTTTGTTTTTGGACGAATATGAAAAACAGACCCTACTGCGCACAGCTAGTTTGGTTGTAGACACCATCCTCCCTAATCCCCTGGCGTGTCTTTCTGTGGCAAAGGGGCCACTCAGTAATAAATCCATCAGGGTTAGATAGATGTTGCAGCATTGCAGATTGAGAAGGGAGGAAGCAGGAACTTAGTTGCTCCTTAAGGAACCATTAATTCCACCTCCCCACGTGTAAACAGGTGAAATATTCCCTCCTCCCTCAAAGTCCTTCCTTTCCATTTCTCCTCCCTGCTGTGAGCTCATGGGTGGATTGTTTTTCATTATCTCATTGGAAAAATAGAGCTATCTGAAAACTTACAGCCTCAGAGGCCATTTAATCCAGCCGCCTCTTCTTACAGATGGGGAAACTGAGGTTTGTTCTCATTCACGATGGGGCTAGATAGGTAAATGAACTAAAAAGGAAGCTGTGTTTAGGTCACTTTGTCATTGAGAACCTTGTCCCCAGGGCTGCCATGGCCCGAGTTTCCTGACCCCTTTTCTTCCTCTGAAACCACAGGCTTGCTAATCTTTTCTAGTTAGATCTGATGATCACTAGTATAATCATCATTCCCATTTTACAGACTGAGACTCGGGGAGAACCATTGCTTATCTAGCTTATCAGGGCAAGGATTTGGACCCAGACCGACCCCCCCCCATTCTAAGTCTAGTATTCTTTCTACTATATGGTACTGCATGGTGTATAAAGACCACAAGGGTGAAGGTTTTTGTCAAAAGCGAGAATTTTTTCAAGTCCTCCCTCTAATCCTCTTATCTTTGAGGGACTAATAGCTCAGAAATAGGGATTTAGGGATAAAAGGAGCCAAGTTGATGTTTCTAAGGCTCTGATTACTACTATTTCTACTGCTACTGCTATTACTACTACTACTGATGATGATGATGATGATGATGATGATGATGATGATGATGATGATGATGACAGCATCCTTAACTTGACTCTTAACTTTAATGTTTGCAGTGTCCTTATATATATTCTCCTTTGTTCTTTTGAGACCCCAGTGGAAGTTGGTATACTTCTCACCCTCCAATTTGTGAACCATTTTTAGCAATGTCTGTTTTCCAGTCCCATGTTGGGCTTCTCATGATACTGGTAGTATAGATCTGAGACGAGTTCCCTTTTCTTTTCGCCTATACTGGACATCCACATTCAGCCCATCATTTCTTTCCTTTTCCTGACTACTGATGGAACAGGCCAGGCAGGCAAGTGTATGTGGAGAGTTAAAAATCTCCTTAGGAAAAATGGCATCAGAAGCATGGGAAACTGCCCAGAAGAGTGAGCAGTGTGATCTATGCACCTCTTTCTTTGCCTTCCAATGCAGTAGTGACTATCATGGCGCACTAGCCCCAGTCCTCCACCACAATTTTGTTTCTCTCTCTCTCTGTTTTGTTTTTCTCTCTTGCTCTGTGACACTGTTGTTCATTTCTTTGCTTCCTCATAACTCTGTTGGGCTGGCCTGGGGTCTCTCTTGCTCCTTCATGTGGCTTTTCTGCTTCTTGGATGGTTGGAGCTCGTGGCCGGAGTGTCAGTGCACCGATATTAGGTACTGTGACCATTCCAGGTGAGGCTGGGAATTAGAATGCCTTTCCCCTGGCAACCTGCACACATTCTCCATTCCCAATGACTCTGTTTGGTCTTCTCTTGCAATAAAGACATTGTCCTAGTGAGAGGGGTGGGGTTCCATCCTTACAGGGCTGTTCCCAAACCCGTAAGAGAAGAACGGAGCCTAGAGGGACCTGTAGGCCACACAGTTTTGAGCAATCAACTCTCCAGAAAGTTAAAACCCAGACCAAGCTATGAGACTTTGCATATCCATTTGCAAAATCCTATGTGCAAAGCCATGTTTCTGTGAGATATTTCTTACCAAGGCTGAGCATGGTGGTATGCCTGTAATCCCTGCTACTTGGTATGCTGAGACTAGAGCTTGGGAGTTCTGAGCTTCAGTGGGCTAAGTTGATTGGGTGTCCCTACTACATCTGATGTTGATATGTGAGCCCCCAAGAACCACCAGGGTGGCTAGGAAGGATAGAACCACTATGGGTTGAAAACAGTAAGTCAAAACTCCCATGGCAATCAGTAGTGAGGTCAAGCCCATGATTAGTCACTGAATTTCCAACCCCAGTGAGATAGACACCCAGTCTTTAAATATGGATACATATACACATATATATGTATATATGTGTGTGTATATATATCATTGAGCCATGGCATAGATGAGCTGATTTCAAATGTCATTTAAGAAAATATTTTCCCCTTTCTCTCCATCATCTTAGTTTTACTGTTTTTCCCTCAGGAGAAACCGAGAGCAGTTTGGATAATACTGTCACATCAAATGACCTTTCACCTACTTCTTCTGGAACCGACTCGGGGCCCCAGTCTCCACTAACTCCAGAAATGAAACGGAGTCCTAAAGGCATCCGGAAATTCTGGGGAAAGTAGGTTTGTTGTTGTTTTTGGAGTGGAGGGAATTTTTGATACAGACCAAATGGGCTAATTTTTTTAATACTTACTTTTTTATACCCTATTCAATTCCCATTAAACACACACACATACACACATGCATACAATATATCAACACAAAGCAAGGAAGTAAAACTGAATGCTATAAGCACCATCATTGATAGGTATGACATTCCATACCTGTAGATGGCTGCCTCTCAACAGAATGGATATAGATTCCTAAATTAATTATTTGGCATATTGGTCATTGCTTTTGATCTGAGTTCCTTTGTCCTTTCGTGGTGCATTTACATTATGGTAATCGCTATTAATATTGTTTTCCTGGTTCTGCATGAGTTCATGCTTGAAAATTACTCAACCAGTGATTGTTCCCATCCCACTTGGGGGCAGATCTAATTGTTAGACAGGTTTTCTGGACATCAAGCCCAGATTTTCCTCTTTGCAGACTTCTCCCACTACTCCCGATCTACTCTCCAGAAGCAAATAAAATTACACTAATGCCTCTTCCACATGACAGCCCATCACCCCTTAGAGCTGTAGGATAAGCATAGGGCTCACATTTAGTGAAAATAATTAACAGACATTCTTAAATGTCTCTTGAGGAGAATTACCAAAGTCACCTGTTATTTGTGTCAGGTTGTCTTAGAGGGGTCTTCATTTGTCCTTCAACAAGCACTACTGTATGCCAGGTCCAGTGATTAATACCATGAGTGATCCAGGGGTGAATTAGACATGCATCACAATGCCCCAGGCCTCAGCTTCCTTTGGGCCTCTTTGACATTTCCTCTTGAACTAAGACAGGGAGGGGCTCAAAAGCCCAGAGTGCAGATATTCTGTACAAGACAGAATCTGGTCTTCCAGTCCCTTCAACCTATGTAGGTTGCCTTTCTCATTGAAATGTGAGCTCTTTGAAAGTAGGAACTGTCTTGCTTTTCTCTTGTATCTGCAGCACTTATCACAGTTCTGTGCACCTGGTAAGTGCTTAGTAAATGATTTTTCATTCATTCACCATCATTTGCATGGCATGGGGGCAAGGGCAACTAACAACCAAGTCACAGGCTGAACTGAATCCTATTTTTAAATGCGTAGAATAAAATGCATAGGAAACAAGCAAAGGAAACGATTTCTAGTGAAGTACAGCTGTCCAAATTTTTTTTAGATAGGCTCACAGATTCCCAGGTTAAGAACTTCAGTTCTGGTGCATATGCCTATCTGCCCATATGCAGTGGGAGAGTTGAGACCTGGATCACCCAGTAGTTTCCTTGTTCTGGTCTCATCGCCCATTTCCAAGATGGAACACAGAGAAGAACATCTGGCTTTGGCATGGCTGCGTCCCCTGGTCCTGTAGGGTGAGCAACCCAAACTTCAATTCCAGAAGCAGGATCATTAGCAAACCTTGTCATCAATCAACCAACCGCAGCTTCCTTCCAAACCTGTTAGAATCTGCACCTGCTTCAGAGGAGGCCACAGGGAGCAAAACCATATTGGGAGGGAATCCTGAGGCATGGGTCTCATGAGGGAACTGATTTATAGGGTCTGAGCCTTTTTTTATATCTTACTTGTCCAAAATGAATGAGTGATTGAGAGAGAGAGAGAGAGAGAGTGAGTGTGTGTGTGTGTGTGTGTGTGTGTGTATGTATGCGTGTGCATGTGCACACACGCACGCTTGAATGGGAAGGGGCCTAAATCCGTTCATGCAGAATGTCTTCTGATGGTCCCTATGGTTTTCTATCCCCACAGAATAAGAAGGACTCAATCAGGAAATTTCAACACAGATGCAATAGGGATAGCAGAATTCCGCCGAGGTGGGCTCCGGGCAACTGCAGGACCAAGGCTGTCCAGAACCAGAGACCCCAAAGCTCAGAAGAGGTAACATCCTTCTCACAATCCAGGTGGTGAGCTCGCTCGGGAAGGAAGACTTACGTGCCCTAAGGTTCTAAGAGTAATCACGATAAAGTCACCGGAAAAATGAGCCATGGAAGACTTTAAGCAGGAACATGGAACTTAGGATATTTTGTTCATTTAGTCTACAAAAATGAGAAAAGTAAAGTACAAAGTGATTCTTGTTGTCTTAAAAAAAATTTCCTTAAGGTTTTTTTTTAATACTAAATTAAGAAGACATAGTATCTGTGTTCCAGAATTTTAAGGATCATCCTAGGGAATAAAAGTTAGATTTCTTTCTGTTTGGTCCCAGCACACGCAAAAAGGGGCATAATTTTAGCTTGAATCTAGGAAAAGCTTCCTAACAATGAGCACTGTTCAAAAGTAGAAGGGCTCCCTCAAGATGTGGCAGCTTCCCCCTCCTTGGAGGTCTACAAGCAGAGACACTAGATAACCCCGTTTGGGCTACGTTATAGTCAGGGCTTCCGTTCCTGTCTGTCTGGGTGCCAGTGGATGGCCACCAAATCCCTGACACCTATCAGGTTCTGTAACGCTGAGGTTCTGCCTTCCCTCACTATATCTAACAATTGCAATGGCACTTCTTTTGGTCTCTGACATCTGTCAGAGACTTGCTGATCTTTTTGTCATGCAGAATCTATTCCAGGCTCCCCTTGCAATCAACACCAGCTCTGACAGGCATGTGCTCACTGTCTTTCAGTGATTCCAACGCTCCTTTTGCCCAGTGGAACACGGAGCAGGTGTGTTCCTGGCTGGAGGACTTTGGTCTGGGTCAGTATGTGATCTTTGCCAGGCAGTGGGTGAGCTCTGGCCACACACTATTGACTGCTACTCCTCAAGACATGGAAAAGGTAAGTACAGACCTGGAAGTAGGCCACCTTTCATCTGTCTAACAGTAGCTGACCTTCTTCTGGATTCTGTGACCTCAGCTGCCTGCCACATGCCTGGGGCCTTGGCTGGGAGGGAAAAGAGAAACAAGCCAGGAGACGGGCATCTGGCCGACAGTATCTGATGGGAGGACTTCTGGAGCCCAAATTAGCATTAGCCTGGGGCAGTCTTCAAAAAAATGTCCAAAAGGGCAGCTCACAAAGTGCCCTCAAATCAACATATTTTAAAACAGTTTTTGTTTATTTCATTAATTTCCCAATTACATGTACAAAAATTTTTAACATTTATTTTTTAAAATTTTGAGTTCTAAATTCTCTCCCTCCCTCTCCCCCTTTCCCTACCCCTTAAAAACACAAGCATTATGATATTGATTATACGTGTGAAGTCATGCAAAATATTGCCATATTAGCCATCTTGGCAAACATAAACACAGCTGCTAGGTGGTAGAGTGGATAGAGCACCAGGCCAAGAGTCAAGAAGATCTGAGTTCAAATCCAGCCTCTAACACTTCCTAGCTATATGATCCTGGGCAAGTCATTTAACCCCTATTTGCTTCAGTTCCTCATCTGTAAAATGGCAGCATACTAGAGAAAGAAATGGCAAACCATTCTAGTATCTTTGCCCAAAAAAATCCCATGGACAAAGCCCAAGAGATCAGAGAGTCAGACATGGCTGAAAACAGCAACAGAAAGCAAACAAACGTAGAAAGTAAAAATAAAATGATTCCATCTGCACTCAGCGTTCACCAGCGTCTCTCTGGAGGTCATGACCCCTTTGGGATTCTCTTGGATCATTGTCCTGATCAGAGCAGCTAAGTCTTTCACAGTTAATCATCATTACAGCATTGCTGTTACTGTATACATTGTTCTCCTAGTTCTGCTCACTTCACTTTGTATCGATTCACGTGAGTCTTTCCAGGTCAAACCAACTCTTAAAGGCAACCTCAATTGTGAGAAGACACAGTGAGGTTTCTCTGAACCACCTGGCAAGTGCAAAGGCCAGTTGTTTCTACACTAAAGAGGGACTAACTCAGTGCCCTCTAAATTTCATCTCCCTGGGTCACGCCCCTAGACACCTTACCCAAGTTATAGCTCTGACCAGACAAGAAACAGCAGCAGCATATGGCCTATCCCTGCAGGTCCTACTGAGCAGTGGCTTGGCTGTACATAATGAGCCATCATACCTCCATCATAACATAACCACTAAGATTAACAATCATCTAACTTAGGGCGAATTACCTACCTAAAACTCAACAGCTGATCTTCCATTGTCTATTTCAGGAACTGGGAATTAAGCATCCCCTGCACAGAAAAAAATTAGTTTTGGCTGTGAAGTCAATTAACACAAAGCAGGAAGAGAAGTCTGCACAACTAGACCACATTTGGGTAACCCGTAAGTATAGACCGACTCAACCTGAAAAGGAGTTATCCCAGGGGGGAGCTAGGTGGTACAGTGGATAGAGCACTGGGTCAGAAGTCACGAGCTCCTAAGTTCAAATCTGGCCTCAGACACTTAACTAGTTATATGACCCTGGGGAAATCACTTAACCTTGATTGCCTCCAAAAAAATATGGGATGGTGAATAGAGTTATGCCAGTATGGGAGAAGGGGGGAAAAACATCTTCTGAAAGTCTGATGATTAAATATTCTGATTATTCAAACCCTAACTCTCAAGATTTAGTCTAACCTTTCACTGTCCTACTCTCTGTGCCACCCTGTCCCCCAAGTTCACCTCCCATTGTTTTTAGTGGCTGTCACATAGGAACTTTGAGATGTACCTTTCTTTTTCACTCCATAGGGTGGCTTGACGATATTGGCTTGCCTCAATACAAAGACCAGTTCCATGAATCCAGGGTTGACGGGCGGATGCTTCAATACTTAACTGTGGTAAGGGATTTGCGTTTGATCAGTTCAACTAAACCAACATAATAATTGACATCCATGTACTGGGGATACAGAGATAAAATCAATATTCCCTGCCCTCAAGGAGCTTACATCTAACAATGGACTGGGGGAAAGAGATGAGTGGTGGTGGTAAGAAGGGCTGGATGTTATATGTATACAGAAAGTAAATACAAAATAAAGAGGAGGAAACACTAACAGAGTTTGGGCAGCAGGAAATGCCTCTCCTGAACTGTGCTTTGAAGGATTCTAAGTATACTTAGAGGCTGAGGTGAGAAGGGAAGCCATTCAGGAACATAAGGCTTTGGACAGAAACTTCACTACCAACTGCCAGACGTAATGGGGAGGGGGAAGCACTCAGCAACTTCTAGACAATGATTCATCTGTCTTACTGTACATATCCACATCTTAGAATTTTATCATCGAAAGGAGCCTTAGGCACTGTCTTCTATGATTCTTTTGATATACAGATGGAGAAACTGAGGTCAATGGAGGTTATATGACTTTCCTCAAATAATAATCAATGTTTATAAAGTACTTTAAGGGTGGCAGGTAAATGTTGCAGTGAGAAATCTGACTTGTAGCCCCTACCGGCTCCATGACCTCGTGCAGGTTATGGATTCAGAGTATCCTGGGCAACTTTCGAGACCAAGGAGCAAACAGAGGTCTGTGAGCCTGGATGGGAAAAAGAATAAATCTTTATTTTCACTACCCTCTAGCTCGGGTGGGCAAACTTGGCCCACAGGCCTTAACCCAGCCCAGAATGTAAAAACCCTTCTTGGCCTGGAGGCCGAACAGAGGCAGGCCCTATGTGAGCTATAGCTGCCAACCTCTGCTCTGACTGAAGCATTCCCTTCAATTATATAAAAACATGGTTCTGAGAAAGGACAGCTAGATGATGCAGTGGATAGATCACCGGCCCTGCCATCATGAGGACCTGAGTTCAAATCCGGCCTCAGACATTTGACACTTACTAGCTTATTAACCCCGATTGCATCACCCCCTCCCCCATACAAAAAGACTGTCAGACTGCCAAAGGGCTCCAGAGCACAAAATTGGTCAAGACCCCCCTGCTGTTCAGGAATACAGATTGCAGAACAGTTGCTGATATGCATTGGTAGAGATGTGCTTACCAAGAATTCTCTGCACTAGTGAAATCAAAAGTCAAGACTAACAGCAGTGTTGTCTGGGCTGCACGTGACGTCCTGAGCCCGTGGTGCCAGACACGGGGTGGGGCGAGGGTGCCGTGAATGAGCAGGAGGGAAGAGCAGTGAGTGAATCGAATGGCGTGGCTGTCTTCCCAGTGCCACGTAAGCCCTTACCCACTGACCTTCCTCTTCCAGAATGACCTTCTCTTCTTAAAAGTCACCAGCCAGCTGCATCATCTCAGCATCAAGTGTGCCATCCACGTGCTCCATGTCAACAAATTCAATCCTCATTGCCTCCACAGGAGACCCGCCGATGAGGTAGGGGCAGGACGGGCCATCTTCCAACTCACAGGTGCCGCTGTGGAAGAAAGCTGTCCCTCTTTCTCCATTAGGCAGGAAGTCAGTCCATTCGGAGGCCTCTTGCCCAGTGCCCCCATTTACTGCTAGAGAGGAGGACAAGAAGGTACTTGGTGGGGCATCCTGCTAGTCTCTGGACTCAGCCAACCTCCCCTCGATCCCAGTTCAGGTTTCCCTGGCCCGTTCCATCCCTTTTGCCCCAGCTGTATGCTCTGCCAGCCTCTCAGGCTGAACCAAGAAGAGCATGGTGAGAAAATCCAAATTGGGCTATGGCTGGGGACTGGGGGAGATAAATGGGGTACTGAAATAAGATAATGAGGGGGGCATCTGGTGGCACAGTAGATAGAGCTCTGGCCTTGGAATCAGGAGGACCTGAGTTCAAATTCAGCCTCAGACACTTGACACTTACTAGCTGTGTGACCCTGGGCAAGTCACTTAACCCCCATTGCCTCGCCAAAAAGCAAAAAAAAAAGAAAAGAAAAGAAAGAAAGAAATAAGATAAAAGTTAGAGGAGGGAAAGAAAGAGGGATTAAGGAAAGAGAAAGAGAAAAAAGGGAAGAGAAGAGAGGAAGAGTAGAAAGAAAACTAAAGAAATTGAAGGCAGTATGGTACAGAAGAAGGAGCTAGAGTTGGGGAGATGGGTTCCAAACCTCTTTCTGATGCTTTCTGCTTAGGTGACACTAGGAGAAACCCAAACCTCAGTTTTCTCAATTGTAAGACAAGGAGGGTGAAGTTGCTGGCTTCTAGGTCTCTTCTCTCTAAATCTCTCATACTGTAAGATAGGGGATAAAAAGGAAGGAGAAAAGGACCAGAGGGAGGGAGGGCTTACACCCAGCTTAGAGCGCCTTTTTGTGTGTCAGTGGGAGGAGGGATGGGATGGGTACAGTTGCTCCTTTCTCCAGCTTCCCCAGCTACTCCTAAGGCTGCCAGTTCCAATATCCGGGCAGCATGCTTTCATCAGTGAGATTACTCAGTGACCTTCTCAGAACAGGCACTAACAATACTAACCCTTTTCCCTGCCCAAGTAAGAAACAGAACTCAGCCTCAGAGAGGGGAGGGTATTACAGACGCTAAGTATAAGGTGCTCTCCCAAATAAATGTGCTACTCCCATGATGAAAGGCCCCATTTAGGTTCCTCAAATACAGTGTGGACAGAGCCTTCTGACCTCATGGCTTTGTAGAGGAAAATGGTCCTGATCTGATAGCATGGTATTTAATAGGGAAATTTTGGGTTCTAAAAATAAATCAAAATGGGTACAAGATTAGTGCAAGATTTCACTAGACAACTGAAGAGGATCTGGGAGCATTAGTGGACTGTAAACTTCCCCGAAACAAGGTAATTTTTGGCTTCAGACAATTCAGGTGACCATAGAATCCTGAGGAAAGATAGTAAGACTCCTACTCTGCCCTGCTCACACTCCATTTGAAGTCCTGTGGTCTGTTCTAAGCATCATATAATTGGAAGGCCATCAGCTGGCAGAGGGCAGGAAAATGGTTCGTTTTTACAATGTTGATGTAATAATATAAATTGTTCTGATTTTGCTCCATTCATACCACAGTTTCTTGGAAATCATATTCTATTACATTTGTATACTATAATTTGTTCAGCCATTCCCTAATCTGTGGGCATTTCCATTCCTGTTCAATGCCAATTCTTTGCCATTACAAAAAGAAGTGCTTTAAGTATTCTTGTACATATTACCTTTTCATCTTTGATCTCCTTGGGGTATAAGTGTAGTAATGGTGTCACTGGGTCACTGGGTATACATGTACAGTTTAGTTACTTGGGGGACATAGTTCTAAAGTGAATAAGTCTGACTTTTATCTTATGTCCTTTAATGCTTTCCTTGCCATCCTTAAGCACAAGTACCCTCAGCCCCTCCTTTGCTCACTCGCACCTCTGAGGTCCTAAAATGCATTCAGTTGTTCAGATGGTTGGGAAAAGATACCCGAAAGAGTGACTGAGACTTGGGGATTGATTTTGGTGTAAGGAAATTTACAGAGCCACATGAGCCCCCTCCCACACACAAACCTATGAAAAGTGATACTCTCCAACTAGCAAGAATAAATGTTTCCCATCTTCTCCCACCCACCTTCAGAGTCATGTTTGGAATATGGTATTTTCTGGGCACGACAATATTTTAGAGGCAGCTGGTGGCACAGTGGGTAGAGTGCGGAGCCCAGAGTCAGTAAGACCTGCGTTTAACTTCAGCAGTAATGTTCTTAATGACAGGTCTTGGCTCTTCTCTCTTCTCGTCCTGACAGAGTAATGTTTCTCCTTCTGAAGTGGTACAGTGGTCCAACCACCGAGTGATGGAATGGCTGAGGTCAGTGGACCTGGCTGAATACGCACCCAACCTTCGAGGAAGCGGAGTTCATGGTGGTCTCATTGTGAGTAGCTGCTCATACATCTGACCTGCTGTTTTATATAAGAGGATCAGAGCTTTAAAGCTGGAAGGTAGCTAGTAATTTTTCAGTCTGGTTCCCCTCATTTTATAAATGGTGAAAATGAGGCCCCAAGGGTTGAAGGGACTTGTCACAGTCACATAGGTAGCAAATGGCACGGCAGGGATTCAGACCTACACCCTTAGCCCATAGTTACACACTTGTAAATGCAGAGGCCGGATTTGAAACCAGGCCATTCTGTTAACATTGTCCACATCATTCTGTCTCTGGTCAAGAAAGGTCAGTGTCTGTGTCCACTGTCCTTTAGAGATGGACAGTCCTGTAAGAAAGGGTCTAGGTGGAGGGGGCAAGGCTAGGGCTACCACAGCGGGAAACCCTGGAAAGGTTGACAAGCCTCTGTAAGAAGAAAGGGCTGCCCTTCTGAGACACTTCCTTTGTGGCCCCAGCCTATGATTTCTGCACTTGGACTTACGAACCTCACCTCCTGAATGATGGGAGAAGGAGGCTTGGTTTCCATGTTATATCAATAGAATGAATCATTCCGTGACCCCTGAGCTCACCATTTATCATCATGAGACTGAGTCCCTGAATGGACTAGCCAGCCAGGGCTCTGAAAGGCCTGCTTAGATCAATGAAATTGATACCCTGTCACAGAAGGATGACACCAAGCACTGCCATAGGACACCAGTCATCCAGTGTAGGGACACGCAGATCCAATCCAATGAGCATTTGTTAAGCACATACTACTATATACGGGATACTAGGGGATAGAAAAATAAAATGAAAACTATCCCTGCCCTCAAGGACCTTCCATGCTACTGGGCACGATCTTCCTCCCACTACCTCCCTACCATTTGGCACACCAGGGAAGACACAGAGACACACCAGAGGCAGGGAAGTTTCTCCCAAACAATGCAGTTGCACCATGGCCCAGGCCTTCTCACTCCCAGGAGCTGGGTAGCTTCTTGTCATCCTCTAAAAGATTGATATCTTTCAGGTATTAAATACAGCCAGGTCCAGGTTACTATGAATAATGAATCCCCTAAAGTTATGCAAATTCATCTTGCATATTTTCACTGGGCTGGAACCAGTTACCATATTTTATATATAATCATCACTTTGAATAGTGTGAATTCAAATTCAAGGGATTCATTATTGATCTGGACCTTCCTATAGATTTATAGAAAAGGATTATAAAAGAAACTATAGTATAGATTCAAATCCCATCTCCGTCATTTACTAGCTGTGTGGCCTTGGACCAGTCATTTAATGTCTCAAGACCTATAAGACCTCTTTTTTTTTTGGTATGATTGTCTGTAAATTGTTGGAGACATCAGAAAACGTTTGCTTAGTCAAAGTTCTGCTGTCCACCCACAAAGCCTTCCTACAACGAACTCAGCAGCTGGTTTGTGAGGGCCACTGAGTCCACTAACCCAACACTTATGGTCTTTCCCCCAGATCCTAGAGCCCCGCTTCAGTGGGGACACACTAGCCATGCTTCTGAACATTCCTCCTCAGAAGACACTTCTCCGACGCCATTTAACCACCAACTTCAATGTCCTCGTTGGGCCTGTGGCCCAGCAAGAAAAGAGAGATATAATGGCATCTGCAGCCTATACACCACTGACCACTACTGCCAAAGTCCGGGTAGGTCCCCCACTATGGGTGTGGGCCCAAGCAGGGAGCACAGCTTCATTCCTCCCCTAGGTCTTTCTCACTATAGAGATGTTACAGGATCCCGTCAACCCAGAGAACTTGTGTTCATGAAATAATTACTTGTCTGTGTCTAGCTTCTAGAGACCAGAATCAGTTCAGACTTTGTAAAATTAGGACTTGTGCTGTGAGGGAACAAGAGATAGTTACAGGCCTTTAAGGAACTCTTCTGATTGGGGAAATTGTAGTAGCACTCATGAAGCAACAGTGAGCCTAAGTGTAAAGCTGGAAGCAAGAGGTTATTTGGCACTAACTCTCCTTATGTATTATATATTATATTATGTAACTCTAGTGCTGTAAGAGTTCATAGAAGAGTTTTTAGTCCTCAGTAAGGACTACTGGAAATATAGACCAGAGAAAGAATTTTCTGTGTAGGATTACTTACAGAGATTCATTAAAACTGTATCAAAAGTTTTCTTGGCCCCTTCCACAACATGAGACCAACTTACATAATAAAAGTCAGGTTTACAATGGTATTGGGTATCATGGGATTTTGGCATTGTTTTTCCTCAAACTGTACTATACACATAATAGGTGTTGAATAAATCTTTAGTGAGTGAATGAATGAATACATATTAATATTCTTAGATTAAGTTTAATTAATTAATTTCCTTAAATTAATATTCTTAAATCTGACTTTCTTAGATCTACAGATAAGATTGCTTTTCTTTTTCACGTGGTCTTGTCTTGGTTGTGTTTTAGCCAAAGAAACTAGGATTTTCACACTTCGGAAATATGAGAAAAAAGAAGTTTGATGAATCTACAGACTACATATGTCCCACAGAGCCGAGTGAAAGTGTGAATGGCAATCACAAGGCTTATGGTGGCCACAGCCACCGAGGCCCTCCCCCCAGTCCTGGGGAGGAATTGGACAAACTGGATCAGGTGGGATACGTCAACTGATGTAACTGTCATCTCAGCATCTCCATGCCAATCCCAGAGCTTGCAAATAACACCGTGTTACCTGCCATATAACCTCCAGCCTCGTCTGCATGAACTCACCAAGAAAAACCAGCCTTTCCAAACCCAGAAGCATTTGATCTTCACACCAAATATGCCAGGCCACTGGTTGTGTTTTGTTGGGGGTTTTTTTTTCTTTTTAAGTCAGTACTTCTCCTGTCTCAGCCTCTCTGTGCATCAGTGCCTTTCCTGAGGACAGGCTGGTAAGACTGTTACTATAGGCTAAGAATGGAAGGAAAATGGTTTTAAGAATAATGGTTTTTTAAATGATTCTTAATGCCCATACCCTGCAGAGTCTGCACAAATATAAACACTATTTTCATTTTAAGATGTATTTAAGTACTATGAACATAAATATAAATAAATGTATAAGATTTTGTTCTAGCTAATTTGTACAGAAGATTGGGGATAAATACACACACATACACATTTTTTAATAGAACATTTTTTGTCTTTATTCTAAGAAATAGCTGAAACACAACCATCTTCCCCACCACTTTTAGACTTGCTTTATGATGCAAAACTAACAAATCTCCTGTAGCAGATTTTTCACCTTTGTTGTTGTTTGGTCATGTCTGACTCCTTGTGACCCTACAGACCATGCTGTCCATGGGATTTTCTTGGCAAAGATACTGGAGTGATTTGCCATTTCCTGCTGTGGATTAACGCAAATGGAGGTTAAGTGACTTGCCCAGGGTCACACAGCTAGTAGGTGTTTGAGGCCAGATTTGAACTGAAGTCTTTCTGAATCCAGGCCCAGCATTGCATGTACTAGCCACGTATATACATACACATACGTGTTTCTTGTTCAGCACAGCTGGATTATAAACACATTAAATATGTTCTAAAGTTCTGGTTGCTGAGATAATTCAGAGGGAGTCTATGTTCCACTAGCAGAAAATATAATCAATGAGAAGGAGGGTTTCTAACCTTCTGGTGGTTTGTTTACTTTAACACAAAGGGTGTTGCTTCTTTGTGGTAAAGTAAATAATTAATGTTCTGCTGAGAAGCAAAGCACTTGGCATAGAACGTGTCCCTCTAATGGGGGAGGAGGGACAACACAGATGGCCTTCCAACCATTGTACAAATGGAAAATCGGAACTTCAAGAGAGCAAGGCCAGCCCTGGCCCATGGACACAGTCAGCTCAGCATTTGTGGATCAGATGAGGAAAGAACAAGGCCAGGATTTTAGCACCAGGTGCAGAATGCTCCATCCTCCATATTAGCCTCCCTGCTTCCCCACAGAGGCCTTGGGTCTAGCTTCCTGGCTATTAGATGCCCCTCTGCCCCCCAGCCCTCCACATGCCACTCCCTCCCTCCAGTTGGTACCTGAAGGTATCATCCATCTCCATGTTCCCAAGTGGTCCAGAGACAGCAGAGTCTGAAGGCAATAAGTATCGACACTGAGTTTCTCTCTCGTGCTGTGTCTGCCTAGAAGCCTGCCAAGTCCTTGTAAAGAACCCCCTTTGTGTCGCTTCTTAAACCACACGTGCTCCATCCTAGTCAGTTCTATTCTGTCCAGATGGGCTTTGGGAGGGCTTTAGAGTCCAGCCTGAACCTAAGTGTGAATCTTCTCTATTTGAAAACTTCCAGTGATGGGGGGACTCATTACCTCCTGAGGTAGCCCATTCTTCTTTGGGAGTACCTTAATTGCAAAATTAGATTGCCAAAATCTTCTCTACGCAACTTCTCCCCATCTCTAAGCTAAGCCAAGCAAGCCCAGTCTTATAGGATTACAGATTTATATCTGGAATGGACATTACAGGCCATCTAGTCTAACCCACCCCCACTTTACAGATGAGGAAACAAGGTCACATTGCTAGTAAGCATCAGAGGTGACATTTGAACCCAGGACTTCCTCACTCCAAATCCATCCCACTATTCACTTTACCTCACTGCCTCTCTTCCATGGTAGCGCTTCATGTATTTAAAGGTAGATGTCACTCTCAGCTCCGTCCCTCAAGTCTTCCTTTATCCCGGTTACACAGGCATCGTGGGATGCCCTGGATATACATCTGCTGTTCCTTCCTAGTATAACAGAAATAACACTAGGCTTGAAGTCAGGTTTGAAATCTTGACTTGAATCCTGGCTCTGACACTAGCTGTGAAACCACAGGCAAGTTACTTGACCTCATCAGTAAATCAGAAATAATCCTGGCAAGTTACAGCCTCAAACATACCTGTGAAAAAAAGCACTGTAGAAATAGGTGACATTGATATTGTTCGTCTGGTCTCCACGTGGCCTGGTTTCAGGGCCCTCCACTGTGCTAGCTGCCCTTAACTCCAAGTTGCCACAGTCCTTCCCATCATGTGGCACCTACAACTAAACCGAAAGCTCTGGCTGTGGTCTGGCCAGGGCTGGACAGTGCACTTACCTTAATGAAATCTAATGTTGCATTAACATACTTGGCTCACATCACCTCTTTTTTCAGACTGGGTTTGCCATTCACCCAAACTGTGACCAGCACCCTCCTAGTTCTCATGACTGCATTGCAAAGCTCTGTCTCCCCTATATTTCTGTACTTGGGCTCTTGATCTTGACTTTTTAAGCCCATGCTGTGCCCAAGTATGGGTCAATGCTGCCCTCTACAGCAGAAACTAGAGAAGGACACTCAGTTCTACGGAATATCTCCTTTGGAACATTAAAAGGGAGATGGACAGACCTTTCTATAACCTGAACAGTGTCCTTTGCTATAGTAGCAATACTCTCTGCCCTCCGGGCAGCATGAGGATAAAGCCTGGTTCCCTTTTCTTGTGGTCAGTATAGATGGGGAACAGGAAGTATAGCAGGATGGGGAGAAGATGGGGAATGAGCACCCTCTGGCATCAGGACCCCTGTGTTCATGCCTTATGTTTGGTGTTTACATGCTCTCCTAATTGCCCTTCCTTTGAGGCATAACATTCGTTATAAAGTACATTGTGTGTTTCTGACCCTGCTGCCTGATGCCCAAGAGCTGTTATGTCTACATAGGGGAAGAGACTGTGATCCCAAGACAGGGCTGGGACCATTGCCTGCTGCTTCTTGAGAAGCTCTCTCTGAGTTTCCCTCCATCCTCAGGACTTGGCAGTGCCAGTGGTCCAGGCCCCAGAGGAATTCAGAGGTCAGGCACGCTGGTGCCAGTGCCATCAGCACTCTCAAATGCAGATTGCCATTCAGTCTCTTTCTGATGGCAGAAGTCCAGACGGGTCCATGCAGCAAGCTGGCCAGAGTGCTGGACCAATACAATCTTCCCGTCTTTTAGAAACATGAAGCAGTAATGAAATTATAGAACAAAGTAACAACTTTGACCATGCTGCTACCACCTATTGCCAGTGGCAAGAAAAACCATATTCCCTAGAACTTCCTCCTTCCTCTGAATCTCTCATAGGGACCTGTGCCTGTGCCTGTGTGTCTGTCTGGGGGGACCTCTAGCTGAGCATGGAACTGGCCAGCACAGCTCAATACATACATGATGCATTACCAGAAGCACCATCTACACTTGTGTCTCGGAAACTGGCTTAAAAAAAAGTCCATCCTTTGTGAATAATTTATATACTAGAAGTTCTTTCAGAAGACTCTCCCCTACAGAGAGTCCTGGAGTCAGGGAATTGGACCCTGTGATGTGTCTGTCCGTGAGACCCAGAAGCATGCCTTGTACAGCCTGAAATGAATGGCCCCCTTGCCTGCTCTCTGATGATACTGCTGAATAATTTTACAGATGGAACCTTCGGAAGGTACAGTCCTACAGATAGGGGTCATCTCTCAAGGCATTCACAACCTCACGGTATGTACTAACCTGATGCTTGCTCCTCCCACCCCTCCCTCATCACAACAAAGGAATAGAATCAAAGGAGCCGGCCACAATCTGGTCCTTGGGTCAGTATGTTGGCCACACAGGTGAGAAGATGGAAAATATCCCTCTGTGCTTGGTAGCCTGGGCTGATTTCTTTGTTTCATGGGGCAAGCAGGAGCAAAGGTGAAAAAACAGTGTTGATCACCTACAGGTCATCTACCATATTCAACTAGGAGGCCAACACAGGAAGAAACAAATTCCCCAGGTTCTTCCCTGTAGCCACGCCTCTCCATAGGCCATATTTCCATCCTTTTCAAAGGAGTCTTTCTGGTTCTGTTTATATAACATTCTCCCAAAGAGTTCCTAGGCATCTTGCAGTGGTTGACTTGACCCCAGCTGTCAGTGTAAAGCATAAGACGTTCACCTTATAGAGAAAAATAAGCTTTTTGGAGTCTGTGTCAGTACATTAATTAAGGCTTCTGTCATTAAATTCAACATTGGCAAGTCTTTCCAAATTTATCCCCTATCATTGTGAGCAGCCTACAGAATTCCCATCACCTACCTGCATGCTGACCAGCACCAGAGGCATGTTGCCTTAGCCGGTAAGCCCAGAAGATTTCCATGGACTCCTCTGGGGAGTTAGAGCAGGGGGGTAGAGAAAGAAAAAAGGACAGCAGAGAACTATAGGTGGTACCTGTATAGAAATGGGCATCAAGAGCTACCAAAAAAAATCTAATTCTATTGCTTGTTTTTGTATTTGTTTTTCATTTTTCATGGTTTTCTCACAACCTGATTTTTGTTTGTTTTGTTGGGGGGGGTTGGTTTTTTTCTTTTTGGGTTTTTTTTTACCCAAATTGCTATATATATTTTACTCAATATCACTATAATGGCCCAGGCCAGGTTGTTAATTTACCTTAAATAAATGAACATTTAAATAAACTTGTCATTTAAAACATTTTGTTCATTTTGTTCTGAAAGGCAAAATCCTTACTAAAATTTCCAGTAATTTTGTATGGGGCAGCTAGGTGGTACAGTAGATAAAGCAAAGGATTTAGAATCAAGAAGACTGGATTTCAAAGTCTGAATCAGATACTCTGTAGATACATGAGCCTGCAAGGAACTAATAGAAGCAGCTGGTGGTACAGTAGACAGAGTGCTGGACCTGGAGTCAGGAAGACCAGAGTTCGAAATTGGCCTCAGACAATTACTAGCTATGTGACCCCAAGCAACTTATTTAACCTCTACCGGTTTTCTTATCTGTAAAATGGGGATAATAATAGTACTTACCTCCCAGTATTGTTGCAAGGATCAAATGAGATAATATTAGCACAGTGCCTGGCACATAGTAAATGCTATATAAATAATTATTCCTTTCCCTTCTCCCTTTGTGAAGATAAAATGAGGTGATATTTTTAAAGCACATTGCAAATCTTAAAGCACTATATCAATGCTATAGCTATTATTGTTATCATTACTGTTCATATCATTACTATGTATTTGGTTTTTTTTTTTGATGTATAACCTGATGGAAACTTTCTAGAAACAGGTCTATCATTAGACTTCTCTGATTTCAAGGACACTGATGTTAGATATGTCATTTAAATCTTTTTTTTTAAGTTGCCATCTACTGTTGTATACTTTCAGACTGTGCTAAACCAAGATGGGCTACTAAAATGAAATTCAGCTTCTAATGCCCACAAACAGAAGACCAGAAACGTGTATTCGCCAAGACCAGGAGCGCTAAGTACAGCCAGATGCCTCCGAGTGCTGCCAAATGTCTGGGGCAAGCCAAATCAGAATACGGCCTGAAAGTTTTATTGTCCTGGTATGTGTCACTCATGGCCAAGCTTATGGAGCCTAGAGTGATCCAATGATGCCATTGTTTACTGACAAACGGTCACTTTTGGAAAAGTGATACAAAATGTTTCGTGATAAATCAGACACAATTTAGATGCCTGCCTGAAGAAGAGTCAAAATATTTCTGTTATATTTGCTGCAGTGTTCGCTATTGACCAAAACTTTAATATATTTGTATTTTTGCAACAGCACTGGAGCCTATAGCCTTTTTATTAGAATTCTTCTGCTCCATGCAGGGGGCAGAAGAGCTAGAGTCTGTTTTACCAACAGGATGCTATAAAGCCACCATGCCTGATTTCTGCCATTTATATTCATTCAAAGTCTTTCATGCTATCCTTTGTGGGCAATGTTGGTTTGAATGACGGGTACTTGAAACTGATTGAGCAGATCCAGAGATTGTTGCTTAACAGTTCTCAATGTCAACCTTGAGAGCTTCTGTACTCAACAGCCCCGGGTCTCTGTTCGTGGCCATATTCTGTTCAACACTTTGAAGAAGTTTGGAAGAAGGCAAGGATATAGCATGCTTATTAAATTTGTGGATGCCCAAACCTGAATGGAACAGCTAATAGGTCAAATGACAGTACCTGGGTCCAAAAGGATCTCTGTACATTAGGACAATGGGGTGAACTAAGTAGATGAAAATTTAACGTGGTATTTGGGTTTTCTATTCCTCTCCCTCTACCTCTCCACTCCCAATTAACAAAAAACTATTTTCTCTCTTTACTTCCCCTCATCCATTGAAAAAAAGAAGAAAACCCTTGCAACAAATATGCATAGTTAAGTAAAATAAATCTCTGCATTGGTCATGTCAAAAAAAAGTATGTCTATTCTACGCCCCCCCCCTTAGTCCATCACCTCTCTGCCAGGAGGTGGGTGGCATCATCATTGGTTCTAGAATTGTGATTGGTCATTGTGAAGTCTTCTCTTTCAGTTTTTAACAATTGACTGTACAAGTAGAGGATTGAGAAGGATATAGGAAAACATAAAAAAGACATGGGGATTTTAATGGATTGCAAGTTCAATATGTGTCAACTCTGTGATGGGGCAGCCAAAAATTAGTGCAATCGTGAGGTAAATGAGTAGAAGAATATTATCCAGCACAAGGGAGATGGATGGTTGCCCAGTATTCTGCCCCACTATGTAGACCACATCTATAATATTGTATTCAAGTCTGGCAGCTACTCTTTAGGTAGACATTGACGAGCTAGGTTGCCCAGAGGAGGGGGACCAAGATGGTGAGACTTGAAATTATACCATGCAAGGATTAGTTGAAAGAACTAGGGAAATTTAGCCTATAAAAAGAAAACTTGGGGGAGGAGGGCAGAATATAATAGCTCTCTTCAAGTACCTGAAATGCTATCATGTGGAAAAGGGATTAAATGTGTTTTGTTTAGTCCTAGAGGGCAGAAGTAAGACCAAATGTTTGGAGGTCAGTGTCGTGCTTGGTAGTAGACACTTGATAAAATATTCGTTGAATTCAGTTGAAGTTACAGTCACAGTGATTTTGGCTCAATAAAGGAAAAGCTTCCTAGCAGCTCAAAAATGGAATGGTCTGTCAGGAATCTCAGTGGCAATTTTCTCAGGGAACCAGGATGACCACTTGTCACTTCCAGAGAGGGTCCCTGCTCAGGTTTGAGGTGGCCCCAGAAGCTCCTGATGGCCTGATGTTGTAAAAGTAAAATTCATGGTGTAGCTCCCATCCCACAGGGAATGGCACTTGAGAAAGCAAAGAGCTGGCCATGCCCAACATCAGTGTCGAAAACCTTGCATCCTCAGAGATCAAGGGGCTCGATTTCATGGGAAATGACAATCCACTATTTGATTTATCACTTCCTGATCTAAAACAGCCTCTTTTTCTTTTCTTTTTTAGAAAATGCTTGATTTTCTTGTCTTAAACAAGTAACAGATGTAAAAGCAGTTGAGAATAAGTATATATAGGTTGTGACTGTCAACAGACCAGGCTGGTTTGACAAGCCACACATGCACACATACTTCATTTCTCCTATCCTGGGTCATTCATGGGCAGCTGTCCTGTAAGACATTGTGGCTTTTCATACACCAGTTCACACCATAACTATAACTTCCTGATTCAACATCGAAGTCACATGATGCAACCCTTACCTTGCCATGCTCTTCAGTGCATCAAATTTAGACTTATGTGCACAGGTCCGTAGCTGGGGCAGTTCTTTTTAAACAGACCTGACTGGCATCACCTGGATGAATTAAAGGCAAGATCCTCACATACTTGCTAGGAGGTAGTGTTACTATCTGTGGGCTTGAACAATCATGTTAATTTATAGTATACCACACGCAATGGGGGCAGGAAGTTGGGGGGAAAGGATGCTGAGTTTAAAACCAGGGTGAAACAAGTTATTTCTAGGAAGAAAGAAACCTCAGAAAAAGGAGAATGTCAGTCTGAAAGGAGATGAGGGAAATTGGCCGACAACCTTGGCAAGGGATGAACTAATAATACAATCATTGATAATTTCAGTAGAATTAGTTGGTAAACCTCCAGTGGTAATGCAGTGACAGGCTTCCCTAGCAGGCCCCAGACAGTGGCCCAGTGGCTCAGCTCCATCCAATTTACTTAGCAGGATCCAGAGGACCTTTGCCTAATATGCCTCAGAGGATAAAACTGCTTCAAGGCTAATTGGTATCGAGACCGTGATGCCTGCAATGTGAGTTTAATAGAAAGAAGAGAAAATTCTCATGGGACAGTGTTCTAGTCAGTACAAGATGAGTTTTCCAAAGTGAAAAAGAGTTCTGACATTTCTCCAGAGCCAACAATGGAAATGAAAACCATGAAGCAGCCAGCATCCCAATTTCCCCAGTGGAGAGGTTTGTGGGAGAAGATAAATTACTTTCATTACATGGAAGCATAAAGAATAGTGTTCCATTTGACGAGATGCCTGATGCCTGAAGTGATCATTCATTTGAACTGCTTGTCTGGCTATTGGCTGAGTCTTGGTGGTGGACTTACAAGCCCAGTCCTCCTTTGTTGACACTCTTCAAACCGTCCCAGAAAGAATACAGCACAAAACAAACCAGTGAACTGGGACACTAATGCATCATTGTTGGGAGCTGTGAACTGATCCAACCATTCTGGGGAACAATGTGAAACTCTGCTTAAAGGGCTGTAAAACTGTGCTTACCCTTTAACCCAGCAATACCATTACTGTGTCTGAATCTCAAAGAGGAAAAGGACCTATATGTATAAAAATATTTATAGCAACTCCTTTTGTGGTGGCAAAGAATTGGAAATGGAGAGGATGCCCATCAATCGGGGAATAGCTGAACAAGTTGTAGTATATGGTTGTGAAGGAATACTATTGCACTATAAGCAATGGTGAGGGGGTTATTTTAAGAAAAACCTAGGGAGACTTATAAGAACTGATACACAGTGAAATGAGCAGAACCAGAACCAGCAGTACACAGCAATGTTGTAAGAATGGGCAACTGTGCATGATTTAGCTACTCTGATCAATGTAATGATCCAAGACAATTCCAAATGCTATCCACATCCAGAGAGAGAACTGATGAGCTCTCTGAGTACAGATTCAAGGACAGTTTTTTTCACTCTATTTTTCTTGCTTTTTTGTTGGTTTTTTGGGTTTTTTTGCAACACAGCTAATATGGAAATATGTTTTGCATAATTCCACATGTATGATTGACATCACATTTCTCGTCTTCTCAATGGATGGAGGGGAGGCAGCCTAATTTTTTTTTAATGATTAAGAATAAATAATAAATTGAGAAGCAAGCAAGCAAAAAAAAAAAAACTCAAACAGTAATAGCTATGGACGATTGCAGACCTGACGTACATTGAGATCACCATTAGTAGTGAGAACACTCTTGCATGTTCCACCATCCAATGGGTGTTCTGTGGTCATTCTGCATGTTGGCTATTGCCCAAGCACCAGCATTTCCATGTGCCTTCATGAGAGAAACTGACACCAAACGTTAATACTTTCCCTTTGAGAAACCCAAACTAGAAGCTGAAAACTAATTTAAAACATCAACCAAGACTCAGAAAAGCTAGGTTCCAGTGCCTCTTCTGCCTCCAATTTCTTTTATTTTTTTTTATTTTTGTTTTGTTTTTAGTTTTCAACATTCACTTTCATAAGATTCTGAGATTTAAACTTTCTCCTCCTCCTATTTCTCTCTCCCTCCCTCCCCCAAGATGGTGTATAATCCAATACAGGCTCTACACATACATTCATGTTATTTTCCCATTAGTCATGATGTAAAGAACAATTAGAGCTAATGGGAAGAACCAAGAGGATGAAGCAATAAAACAAAACAACAAAGGAAAAGGAGAGCAAATAGTAGGCTTCCA